GCTACAGGGAAGGAAGCCTCTTGGGAGTCCGAGGCTGGAATGAAGCCCTCCCACAGCTTCTGACAGCTCCTTTCCATGAGTTCCCAGTGGCCAGCTGGGAATCTGGGGCCAGTCTATGGCCTGGTGGTGCCTGGGGGCTGGGCCTCAGGGAAGTCTAACCTTCAAAACACCCGCTAAAGACAGGTGTGATCATCCCATTTTATAGATGTCATAGACGGAGAGACTGAGCCCCAGGAGAGGGAGGCAACTCCGATTCTCAGTGGGTTAGCCAGGAGATGCAGCAGACCAATACTGGTGCAGATCCAGAATCTTTGTCTCTGTGACCTTTGGCCTTGAGCATCATCTACTTGCCTGTGTCCCCACCCAAGCCCCACCATGCCCAAGCAGGGTGCTGCCAACCATACCCCCTCAGCCCTGCCCTCCAACCCCCACGGTCCTCTGTCATGTGCCGCAACCCCTCCGGGCTGCCCGTCTCCTGCTCATCTTTAAGACATTGATTTCAGACATCATTTCCTCCTGAACCTGTTCTCTCTAGAAGTGCCCAGGACCTTGTGGATGTCCTTTTCCTGGCTTTTCCAACCCTGTTTTGGGAAAGTGGTCAGGAAGGCCCCATGGGGCAACAGAGGGTTAGTGGTTGTGCTGGGGCTGGGAGCTGCCTGGATATGCTGGCACTGTGTGACCAGCAGGCTGGCCCAGGCTCTGCACTCCTAGGGGCTGGAGGAAGGAGTGGTGCAGGGCCTTCCTTGCCTGCCTGCCAAGTTTAGGCTTTATCCTGAGAACAGTGTTAAAGGCAGCAGGGGAGGCCCCAGGGGGATTTATATGTTTATGGCCCTTGGGCAAGGCAGCTCTCTAATTCCTAGAGCAGGGCCAGACACAAAGTACAGGGGTGATGGAAAGGTGGATAAACAGACCCACAGCAGGGGTCCTAGGGGCAGGAGATGGGACAGCAGGCAGGGCTGGAGCCAAGAGATGGCTAGGTGGAATTACCCATGCTCCATGGGCCTCCAGAGAGAATTTTGGAATTTTTTCCTGGGGTCTCTTCCTTGACTGTGGCCTTCAGTCAGCTGTGAGCTGAGGGTGGAGCTGAAAGCTGTGAGTTGGGATGGGAGGCCGCCCCGGAGAGTGTGGTCCCCTCCTTCACTGGTTCTCTTTGGCCTCGGCTGCAAGCCCAGCATGTGGCCCTGGGCAGGCCAGCAACCCTGCAGGGGGGAGTGTCCTCACAATGTCTGGAGTAGTGGCAGTCAGGGCTGTGACAGGGGAGGGAAAGCTGAAGGGAGGGTCTAGGGCAGCTCTCCTAAGAGGACTTCTGAGTTTTTTTTTCCAGGGCTAGTAGGAAATTTGCCCAGACTGAAGAGGAAAGTGGCACTAGGGAGAAGGCCCTGCCCCCTCCAGCCCCACAAGGCAGATGGATTTGTGCCACTCAAGCAGTGGGCAGAGCTGGAGAAAAGGTGACGTGTGTGTGTGTGGATGGGAGCAGGAGGCAGGCAGCGGGCACCAGGTCCACTGCCAGGCCAGCCCCTCCCCTCACGGGACTGTCTGCCTTTGGGCACTTCCTCCCGGGTACCCTCTGGCTGCCCATTTGAGGTCCCAGCAGAGGTCTCTGGTCCCGAGAGGTCTGGCTTCCCATTGCTACCTTTCCTACTTATCCTGGCCCCAGTGTCCTTGGGGCACGTCTGTGCCCCAGAGGTCAAAGCAGAAGAGCTGAACGAACACCTGGCAAGACCACATGAGTGGAACATGGGCTAGGTTGGAAGCAATAGGGGATGGTGGGGACTGCAGAGAACTGGCCCGTGTGTGTGCTATCACAGATGCCACTGAGCTCTTCAGCTGTTGCTTTTTTGGAACTCAGGCCTGGTGTCACCATGTCTGGATTTTTTAAGAGAAGCTGGGAATCCAGATTTATGTATAAAATTTCCTGATTGTAAATAACTAATTTAAAAATGGTTCAAACATCATACGAGCCAAACAGGCACATCTGTGGACCTATGTGGCCCATTGTTGGTCATCCGTTGTTGAGCCCTGACTGAGGTGAGAGAGAGCAGGGGCTCAGTGTCCCTGGACCAGCCCAGGCCATACTTGGGCTGGTAGAAAGGCCAGGACACTGTCAGTGGTGAGCCCCAGAGCCTCCTCAGACTGACTTCTTAGAGGTGCCCCAGGCAGCTAGCAGGCCAAGCGTGCAGCAGGGTCACCCCCTGTGCTCAAGGCTCATGAATGGCCCCTTGGGCCCCACTTATGTGCAGGGGTGACTGGTCTCGCCCACCGGGTCCCAGGCGGCAGCAGCTTTCCCTTCGTATTAGTATTGTGACCTCTGCCTGTTGTCCCTCCACAGGACCCACGTTCTCAGGAACAGCTGGTGCTGAGTTGAGGGATGCCTCACATAGGTATCTCTGGACCAGTATGGGCGCCAAGTAGTGGTGTGACCAAGTGCATTCTCTATACCTGGATCCTGACTGCCTGGGTTGGAACCTTGTCCCTGTCATGCATGCTGAGTGTATTTGTGTACATTCTTAAGCCCCCATGCCTCTCAGTTCAAACACACCACAAGCTGAACAGGCAAAAGTCAAGATAATGATGATGATGGTTACGGTGATAGTGACAGTCCCCAAGTTATCAAGATGGGAAGGATTAAATGTGCTGATGGGTGTAAAATGCTCAGAACCACCTGGCACCACAGCACCGTGTGTAGCTACATCGGCACTCTCCTCACTCTCACAGGCACCCCACCTGTGCATACTCGTGCACACACAAGCCCACGTACATACATATGCACATACCTTTGCAAGCCCACACCCAGCGCATGTGCACACATGTTCACATACAAGCCCACACTACATGCACACATGTGCACACACACTTCTCGCTAAAACATTGCTGGCATCCAGCAGGTGTAGCCCACATGGGCATGTGTTCTCAAAGGAAGAGTCTACCTTTCAGGTTTTATACACTTAATTTTTGGGTCAAGCAGGGTGAGGAGGAACATTTACTGTGTCCTGCTCTGTGCCAGGCACTGTATCAGGGACTGATATATCTTATTCCAAAATAGCCCCTGTGTTGGGGAGCTAAGTAGCACAAATGGAGCTCCACTTTTAGCTGGCTCAGTGCCCAGGTCTCTGGGAAGTCCCATGCCTGGACATGGAGCTTTGGCATCGTGTCCCTGGAACAGCCCACAAGCCACCCTGTAGGGAAGGTCTCTGCACAGTGGGTGTGAATAGTGTCAGGGACTCCAAAGAGTCAGGAACTCAGCTTGAAAGCTGAGAGGCTGGCAGAAGTCTGTTTCTCCTGTTACTGTACCGTGGTATAGACAGCTTTGTGGTTCTCCACTCCTTGCTTTCTTTGCCTGGGCTGCCAGGAACCTCTTAGACTGGTGATAAATTTAGTTTTCATAGATTTTCTCTGAAGTTACTCTGCCTCCTTCCCCTCTCCCTCTATTCCTCATCTGGTATCTTGTCATGTATCGTTTTAGATCATTCTCTCTCTGATTTCTTTTTTTTCTTTTTGCTAATGTTATTTAAGAGTAGCATGCAGAAAAGTATACAAGTCATAAGTGTACAGTTCCGTGAATTTTCTCAAGTGGGACATAACTGTGTAAGCCGTGCCGGGGGAGACATGGCGTTACCAGAACCCCAGAAGACGTTGAGCCCCTCCCAGTCACTGACCCACCAAGGCGACGGTGCCCTGGCCTAACAGCACAGATGAGTCTGGGCCTTCGTTAACTTTACATAAATAGAGTCATGCAGTGTGCACTCTGGGGTTTGGCTTCTTTCGTTTCTGATGATGTTTTTTGTTTTCTAATTTTTTAAATTTTTCATAAAATACACCTAACATAAAACATCCTGTCTTCATCATTTTTAAAGCACACAGTTCAGCAGCATTACGTTCATTCAAATTATTGTGCAGCCACCAGCTGTCTCCATCTCCACAACACTTTCCATCTTGCAAAGCTGAGACTCTGCCCATTCAATTCTAACTTCCATCTCCCCGGCCCCAGCGCCTTCAGCCACCATTCTACTTTGTGTCTCTGTGAATTTGACTACTCCAGGCTCTACATATAAGAGGAATCACACAGTATTTGTCCTTTTGTGAATGATTTACACATGATGTTCTCCAGGTTTGCCCATGTTGTAGCATGGGTCTGAATTTCCCTCCTTTTTAAGGCCGAATCAGTTTCCACTGTATGCAAATACCGTGTCTTGCTTCTTCATTTATTCACTGATAGACACATGGCTTGCTTCTGTGTTTCAGCTACTGTGAATAATGCCGCTGTGAACCTGAGTGTGCAAGTATCTCTTTGAGACCTTACTTTTAATTATTTTAGGTATATACCCAGGGGATGGATTACTGGTGATTCTAGTTTTAATTTTTTGAGGAACTGCCATGCTGTTTTCCACAGCAACTGCCATCTTATCATCCTTCCAACAGTGCACAAGGAAGGGTTTCTCCACCTCCTTGCCAACACTTGTAACTATCTGTTCTTTTAACAGTAGCCATCCTAGTGAGGTGGGATCAGATAGTGGTTTGGATTTGCATGTGCCTGATGATGATTGATGCTGAGTCATGACTATGGTTTTCATATTACTGTGTCTGTCTTGTCCGGTGAGCTGTGCCTCATTTATTCTCATTGCTGCACAGTGTTCCATGGTAAGAACAGAATACAGGAGATATACTGGTTCTGCTGGTGATGGGCATTGGATGGCTTCTGATTTGGAATGGCTGCAAAACCAATCAATGACATGCATAATGCACACTCCCTGAGGGCCATTTGCTCCTGGCTTGGGCAAGCTCCAGGGGCCAGGTCACGCCACCAGCCCACTGCTCCCTCCTGCTGTCTGTCCACAGGCAGCTCAGGGCCCAGCCTTCTAGTGTGCGTCCTTCCGGTGTCAAATTTGCTTCCTGGGGAGGAGCCACTTTTAGCCCCAACAGTGCACCTGCCCTCCATCGTCCCAAGCACCCACCACTGAACTGGGTGGTGGAGGGTGTGACTAGCTCCTCTCTGTTCTCAGGGATCTTTGGGCAGCGCCTGGAGGACACAGTCCACCACGAGCAGAAGTATGGCCCCCGCCTGGCACCACTGCTGGTGGAGCAGTGTGTGGACTTCATCCGGGAGCGTGGGCTCACTGAGGAGGGGCTATTCCGCATGCCAGGCCAGGCCAACCTGGTGAGGGACCTGCAGGATTCCTTCGACTGTGGGGAGAAGCCACTGTTTGACAGGTGAGCTCATGATTGGGGTGATGTAGAGCCACTTGTTCATTCCTCCTGCAGGGCACACCCTCACCCTGCCAGCCTGGGGTCCCCTCTCAGATCTGTCTCTTGGCCATTCTTCCTCCAGTGACCTACTGCCAGGCTCTATTGGTGGCAAGATGACATAGCAGCTCGGCTTCCTTCCTCTTGGGTTCTGGGGACAGGGGAGCAAGTCTTCTGTACCTGCCCTGGGACCATGTCCATCCTACCCATCATGGGGGCTTACCCAGGCCCTGGATCACCCTGGGTGGAGCCAACTATACCCTAGCGCAGGGCTGTTTGGGGACTCTGTTTCCCTTGACAGTGCCCCCACCCATCATGGGGCAGGTTTTCATAGAGTTCTTCCCGCATCAAGAAAACCTACCTTCCAGAGGCTTCCACCGTGTCTTCTTGGATCTGCCCCAGGACCCACAGGCAGCCCTGGCCTCTCCTCTGGGGACAGAACACTCAGCCCCTCAGCTTCTTTTCAGGCCCAACACTGTGGCCAGGGGAGGTGTCTCCTCTCCTTAGATGGAGAGGATTGACCACTGTTCCCCAGAGATGTTCTGCCCAGGGAAGTACGGGAGACCCTTCAACCAGAGCTTTATGAAGCTCCATCCCAATACCGAGTTCAGTGAACTTGTGGTCCATTCTGAACCTCTGCCAGCCAGGCCTCTTCCATCCTATGTCTTATGTGGCCCAGTGTTAGGGTTGGAGATTGCTTCAAATAATGTCGCCTGGGTAGAGCCTGGGAACTAGGACTTTTGGAAGCTCTCCAGGATCAGATGCTCTGCCACCCTAATGCCTGATGCTACCTGGGGGCTTCTGCAGATCTCGCCACTCCCCTACTCAAACTGCTGGGGCTCTCTGGAGTGGCGCAGGCCATCTGAGCCTCACCCACCATGCCAGGTTTCCACCTGGGCACACCTGCTCTCCCAAGGTGTGGTTCCTGGTGTGCTCAGCCTCCTTTCCCCACTTGGCCTGCCTGCTGAATTCCCCTGGAAAGGCAGCTGGCGCCCGCAGGGTGTGTTCCATGCAGACCTGATTCTCAGCCTCCCAACAGCCTGGGGCAGCCTTCCCTATGTCTTGGAGGGTCTCTCCTGTCTGCCTTCTCCCTCTCTGGCCCCTTCTATGCTGTTTTTGGAATTGTCTCTGAGGGCCATCTCCACAGTGGGCATATTAGCCTTGTTCCTCCACCCCCATCTCTGTGTGACCCCATACTGCCACGGTGGCCCTGGGCTTTGGTTCCCTCTTCCTTTAGAAACTCCTCCTTGGGTATCTGAGGCCATCCTTCCCGCTTTTTGCCATTACCATGACAGCTCCTCTGGCTCTGCATCTGTACCCACAGAGGGCCCCTCCCCCCGCTTCCCCCAGACAGAGGACCCCCTCCCTGCCCCCACCTCCCTGGTGGAGGGCCCCCGTCCCTATCCACCCAGGACGGAGGGCCCCTTTCCCACCCACCCCCAATGGAGGGCGCCCTTCCCACCCACCCCCAACAGATGAGCCCCTCCTCACCCACTTCCGACAGAGGATCTTGGGATGGAGCTCTCTCCTCCAGGCCATAGCCTGCCCGCTTGCTGGGGTATTGGCTTCTATGCTGCACCTTCCCCACAAAGCCCCCTCCTCACTTTCCTGCTCATCTCTATAAGAAGGTACCTTTTAGCCCCAGGTCCCAGGCTTCTCTCCCATTAAAGCCTCCCAGGCCTGGAAGCCTCAGTGCCTGGAGCTGCCCCATACCTGTCCCTTCCCAACACACTGTCCCCTGCACACTGGGCTGTCCATCTCGCAGGCAGCCACCTCACTGCTGAGTGCTGAGGACAGCCTCCTCTGTGCCGGAGCCAGGGGCTGCATGGACTCCTGGCTGCCAGGCTCTTTTTACTCCCTCAGCTGCTATCCTTTCTGGATGGATGCTGGTGTTAGTGTGGGCAGGAGGGGGTCCCTGAGAAGGGAGAGGTGATGAGGAACCTGCAGATGGAGGGTTGCCTCAGTGAGGGCTGCCCTGACCACCAGGACCAGTTTGGCCCCAGGGCAGGCACCTCATCTGCTGACCAACTGCTGCCCTCTCTGCCTCGCAACCCCCACCTCTGCCTGCAGTAGTGTCACTGCATGCTGGGAGGGCCACAGGCTGTGGGGAGGCACCCACAGGGCCACAGGCTGTGCAGAGTTCTCCTTGGGTGCTTGTTAGAGGAGGGAAGGGGACAGCAGTTTAGGGAAAAGTCTCAAGAAAAGGCCTGGAAACAGCTGTTAAAAGTACTGCAGTGGGGAAGGACGGAGAGGGGAGGAAGGGAGTGGCAAGGAAAGGAAGTAAGAGTTTGGTGATGAGCGGATGGGAGGCTGGACAGGGCTGAGCAGCAAGACCTTGTGGGGCAGGGATGTAGCTCTGGAGGTCTGCAGAGGAGGGGCAGCTCTGTCCACTTGCCCAGGGCGGAAGCTCTCCCGTCCCTCCAGTTGCAGAAAAGGGGAAGACCTGGGCTGGCTCCCAACCATACTTCCCTGCCTCCTGACCCTCCCCTAATCTCTCTTGCTCTACTCAGGCTGCCTTTGAAGGCATGGGGCCCCAGTGGAGAAGGGGCTGCTGGGCTCAAGCCTGGGTACCCAGGGCAGTTGGCCAGGAACGTGGCCCTGGAGAAGGCCGCCAAGGGTGTGGCAGTTGCAAGCCTGGCTGGAGAGGGAAGCGGGGGTGGAGTGGGGGCTGCCTGGACCCAGCCAGATCAAGAGCCACTGAGCCTCAGCAACGAGGGGCCCCAGGTATAATTGGGATGCACAGGGACACATGGAACCCCAGAATTCCAAATATGAGGGCCAGAAGGCACTTATCTCAGCGAGCCCAGCCTGGGATTCAGCCAGGGCCAGGTGATAGCATAAAGGCACAGCCACAGTCTCCTGGCCCTGGGCTCATCTTTCCTGCTGGAAATGCAGTCCAGGGCCCTAGGCAAGTAGACAAACTACCTTGGGCCTGTATACTGCTTGGAATGCAAGCTCTGAGGAGATGCCAAGGCTCTTGTATAGGACCTCAACTGCAGACCCCACATGGGACCCAGGGAAGGACTGTGCCAGGCCTAGTGCCACTGCCACCCATGGCTGGTCTACTTCAGCCTTGGCAGCTCCGAGCCAGAGCAGGAGACTGAGGCCTGGAGTGGACTCCTGGGGCACTGGAGAGGGGGTGATGAGCTTAGAAGCCTAGGTGTCCCCATTGTGGACAGGAAGAGAGGAAAGGGCCTGACCTCTGACCTGTTCCTGCTGTTGGTCCTTGGATACCTGTTCCCCGACAAGGAGTCAGCAGCCCTGCTTGGTGGGAGCTTTGATGCAGCTCTTCCCACTCCAACCAAGGTCAAGTACAGCAGGGTGGGCAAGCTCGGGCTGGGGCTGGCAGCACCTACAGAGGGCCTGCAAGACAGCTATTCCTACTGGAGAGCTGGCAGCTCCCAGGCTCCCACATCGTCTTGCAGGGGACCTTGGAATGGCCACCAGGCCTGTAGAAGGAGCCCCCAGCCCATTTCCCAGGGCCCTCCCCTGCGCAACCTGACGTACATCACACTTGATTCCTCTGGTCCAGGGCAGCTGCTAGTGTGGAGCAGCTGTGCTTTGCAGGGTCCTGTGGCTTTGCAGCACCTGGAGTCCCGTGCAGTCTATGCAGAACAGGAGCAGGTCCTGGATGGACTGACACAGACATGAAACTCAGGGGTTCTGAACGGGTGCCTGGGCATGGTGGGTTGTCCCTGAGCTGGAACTCCTGGCCATGGATCCTTAGTTGCCCCTCCCTCAGCTCTACCCACTGTTCCCAGAAGCAGCATGGGCCCTTCCTCCACCAGGGCAGCTGACCACAGATGCAGCCCCAGTGTGCCCAAGCATGCATCTGAGACCAGAGGCTGCCCCTTGGCAACAGGGGGGTGCCAGTCACTCCTGAGATTTCCTGGCATCTCAGGCCTCACACACCTGTCCTCTTCTTCCCCCCAACTCCCCAGCACAACAGACGTGCACACGGTGGCCTCCCTGCTGAAGCTCTACCTTCGGGAGCTCCCTGAGCCCGTGGTCCCCTTCGCCAGGTACGAGGACTTCCTCAGCTGCGCCCAGCTGCTCACCAAGGACGAGGGGGAGGTCAGTGGCTCCTGAGAAATGGGCTGGCTGGGTGGCGGCCTGTAGAGTCAGGACACAGACTCTGATTTTCATGAATTTTCATGGCACATGGATCCTGTGGAGGCCTGCTTTGTGTGGGGGGTGTGGTGGGGGCCTGGAGCATCCTGCTTGGGTTAGGGAGGGGCCAGGGCATCCTGCTGTCTGGAGCCATACCTGTATGCGGCCTTGGTCCCTGGGAGGGGCTGGTCCGGGGGTGACCAGCTCTGGCCACTCACACTCCCCACACCCAACTCAGGCCACTCAGGCCTGTCATGGGCTCAGAAACAGGGAGATCTTTTATATATGTCTCATTTCCTTCCCAAAAGAATTTAAGCTGGCTCCCAAGACAGATGGGCCAGCCTTCCTGTCCCCGCCCCTACAGGTTCGAGTCTGCAGCCCCAGGTGGCTCAGGGCCAGCTAAGGACTGTTCGCCTCCCCTGAGGCCCTGTGGGAGATGAGGGCTCATTATCTGGCAAATATTTGTGTCTTGATAAGTGAGCTGAGTGCTAGCCCTGACATTCCTCCACTGTGGCCAGCATAGGCTCACCCCTCACACCAGCTACCTGGAAGAAAGTTAGCTTCCTAGGAGGTCACAGCTGGACCCTGGACACTCCTTGAGGGGAGGGGGAGGTGGTGGAGCCCTCTGGTCCATTGGAGCTGGGTCACCGTAGCCCCCACCTCCCTTCTCCTTGCTTACCCCTCCTCGCAGTCAGAGAAGGGCCAGGGGCCTCATTCCTGGTGTTTGTTTGAAATTCTGTTCTTCATTCCTAAGGGCACTCTGGAGTTGGCTAAACAAGTGAGCAACCTTCCTCAGGCCAATTACAACCTGCTCAGATACATCTGCAAGTAAGTGGTGTGGCAGGAGGGAACCATGCTTTCCTGCACTGGCTCTGCGTCATCCCCCAACCCCACTGTGAGACACACAACTCTTCCTTGTTGGGTGGGGGGAGCCTGAGTCATTCCCCCTCCCCTGCTCCCCACAGAGCCTCACCCAGCACGGATGCAGCAGGGAGTGGAAAAGCACAGACCCTGAGCAGGTGGTTTTAAGCAGTCCTGGGTAGATAATTCCAGAAGGAACATACCGTCTGTCCCTCCTGGGCACCTCTCACCATCCTGTTCCCCCAGGCATCTGCCTCTTGACCCCAACCCTTCATGTATCCCTAACCTGGATGCTGAGAAGGGGCATGTAGGGCTGGTGCTAACTGGGGTCTGGGACTTCCCAGAATCTGCACCCACTGTAGTGTGGAGAGTCATGTGTCCACCTTCCACACAAATAGGGTGGGCCCTTGTCCCAGTGACCTTTATGGCCCTCTCGGACACCAGGGGAATCCTGCCCTCATTGAGCCTGGCAGAGGCAGGCTGCACCCAGTGGGCAAAAGCCTGCAGGCAGCAAGGCTCAGCAGGGGTGGGGCGGGGCATCCAGGCTGCTCCCAGGAGACTGGGCATCAGAACTTGCTTCTTTGAGGACTGCTGCTTCCTTACTTTGCAGGTTTCTGGATGAAGTTCAAGCGTACTCAAATGTCAACAAGATGAGTGTCCAGAACCTGGCAACTGTCTTTGGACCTAACATTCTGCGGCCACAGGTTGAGGACCCAGTAACCATCATGGAAGGTAAGGAGGAGGTGTACCTGGCGTCCCTGGGTGCTGCTGGGTCTTGGCCCATCTTGGTCTGGGGCAAGTCCTTGGAACCAGGTTGGCCCAGGGCCAGGCCGGCAGGAGGGGTGGCTCAGGCAGCACATCTCCACCTCTGGGGACTTGGCAGGAGCCTCTGCAGACCTCACCCTGCCACCCCCATAAGGTCCAGCTGTAAGACAAAAGGGAACTTTGCAGCAGCAGGTCACCGGGTATAATTAGAATGACCAGGGGTTTCTGTGGATAGAAGAGGCTGGAGGGATGGGAGAGGCCAGCACTCTTGCCCTTGAACACATACAGACATGTTTGCTTTCCTTTTATAATCACACCATTGTCATAGGTTCCTAGGTGTCAGCTTTGCAAACCCTGGATAATTTCTCTATGATAAATGACAATAAGTGATTAAAAATAGCAGGAACAGCAGCTGCTTTCAGTAAAGCTTCTGCTACGTGCTTTGTTGGTATCTCCTCATTTCAGGCTTTACAACCAGCCTGGGACGTGGTAATCAGCCCCAACTTTACAGATGAGGAAACAGGCCAGGAGAGGCGAGGGGACTAAGCAGAGGCCAGTCAGCTAGACTTAGCAAAGGGCACAGATGTAGGCTGCCATGGAAAAGAGAGCACACCTCATAGGGCCCATGGAACACTGTCCCCTGTGGAGGATGCACGAGACACGTGCTGTTCAGACAGGAAGTCCACAGCTGAGGCTGTTCTGGCCCCTATCCCATGTCCAGAGACATGATGGGGTGCTTTTGCTAAGTCCCCTCTTTGGCCTGCCTTGGCTGGGTCTCCCACCCCAGGACCCCACCAGGCCAGGAAAACACAAGCTCCCACCTGCCGGGTGGTATAGATGCTCAAGGGGGAGGCCTGCCCTGCCTGCTTCTTGGAATTCCTGCATCACCTAAGTTCTTGGCCTCAGAATTCTTTCCTTGACTTCTTCCAGGATTCCTAGTCAACTTCAATGGGAGAGTCCACCCTGGCACTCAGCCCTCCTTCCCACCCAGGGGGCCTCCTAGCATCTGGTCTTTGTGGTGAGGGTGTTGGGAGGGAATGCGGCTGCTGGGTAGATGCTATGATCCTTCCCGCACTGCCCACCTCCACTGCAGGCCCCACCCCACCACCACAAGAACTGAGTCCCCAGGACTGGGGGTTGCATCGCAGGTCTTGGCCTAGAGATGGGGGATTGTGTGTGTGTGTGTGTGTGAGATTCTATGTGTGTGGGATTCTAGGGGGTGGGCAGGGTGCACTGTGTGTGCAATTGTTTGTAGGGGGCTTTGGGGAGGTTGGGGAGGGTGTGTTGTGTATGTGTGTGTGATTCTGGGTAGTGGGCATTGTATGTGTGTTGTGTGTTGAGGGGATTTGGGGAGGCTGGGGGGTGCATTGTGTGTGTATGCACTTGTGTATGCATATGGGCTTTGGGAAAGCTGGGCAGAGTGCATTGTACATGCAATTTATGTGTGTGGGATTTTGGGGAGTGTGCATTTTATATGTGATTGTGTGTTGGGGGGATTTGGGGAAGTTGGGTGGGTGCATTGTTTGTGCAATTGTCTGTGTGTGATTTTGGGGGTGGGTGGAGTGCACTGTATGTGTGATTGTGGGGGGAGGTATTTTTGGGGGTGGGTGGGTGCACTGTGTGTGCCCCCACACAGAAAGGGCTCTATTCCCTGTGCCACAGCCCTGTGCTCCCAGAGTGTGGACATTCAGGCATGGCTTGTCAGCAGCATGGGGGTGGGGGGGAGCGGGAGTGGTAACATGGGGCAGCCAAGAGAGTTCTGGCATCTCAACTCCCAGTTTCCAGTTCCAACCTGCCACCTGCTCATCCTGCAGCCCTGGTGCCTGCCCCCTCACCCCACCCCAGCTGGAGGGCGCGGGCGCGGGCAGTGTTTCCTCACTGCTTGCAGCTCTGTGCCTGAGGAAGGCGGTTCTGTAGCCCCATCTGGCTGTCCTGCCTGGAGTTGGAGCCGTGTGTGGTCCTTTCCTCTGGGTGGTTGAAGGCTCTTTTGAGGGGCAGCCTGGCTCTGGGGACAGGACCAGCTCCCACAAAGCTGTAGCTTCCCCATGATTGGCAGAGCGACCCTGGGCCGGGCCTCTGGCAGCAAGGCCTCTCTCTGCCTCTCTTCCCGCAGGCACTTCCCTCATCCAGCACCTGATGACCGTCCTCATCCGCAAACACAGCCAGTTCTTCACGGCGCCCACCCCGGAAGGGCCTAACTCCACACGCGGAGGCCAGCAGTGCGCAGTGGGGTGGGGCTCCGAAGAGGTCACCAGGGACAGCCAGGGAGAGCCCGGTGGCCCTGGCCTGCCCACACACAGGACCTCTTCCCTGGATGGGGCGGCCGTGGCGGTACTCTCCAGAACCGCCCGCACGGGGCCGGGGAGCCGGTGCAGCCCTGGGAAGAAGGTGCAGACCCTGCCCAGTTGGAAGTCCTCATTCCGGCAGCCGGCGTCCCGGTCAGGAAGCCCGAAGCGGGGCGGCTCGTCCCTGGAGGTGCCCATCATCTCCTCTGGCGGGAACTGGCTCATGAACGGGCTGTCCTCCCTGCGCGGCCACCGCCGAGCCTCGTCGGGAGACCGGCTCAAGGACTCAGGCTCTGTGCAGAGACTCTCCACCTACGACAATGTGCCCCCTGCGGGCTTGGTTCCCGGCACGCCCCGCGTGGCTAGCATGGCGTGGTCGGGGGCCTCGTCCAGCGAGTCATCGGCTGGGGGCTCGTTCAGCAGCTGCACGGCCTGCCGCGCCAGCGACTCCTCCCGCAGCTCCTTGCACACCGAATGGGCCCTGGAGCCCTCCCCGCTCCCCAGCAGCAGCGAGGACCCCAAGTCCCTGGACCTGGGCCACAGCCTGGACGAGGCGGGGACCGGTGCCAGCAACAGTGAGCCGGGCAGCCCCACCCGGGAGCATGCGCGCCGCTCTGAGGCCCTGCAGGGGCTGGTCGCGGAGCTCAGGGCCGAGCTGTGCCGCCAGCGGACTGAGTACGAGAGGAGTGTGAAAAGGTAACATGCTGCCACGTGGAGCCTCTTGTGACTGGGTGGAGCCTGCCGGAGATCTGTGCTCTTGGCACGTGGGCGTCAGCCCCTGACCTCCCTGCCGCTGGCCCTGGAAGCCAGCTTCAGAGAGGGGAATCCTAGCTCTGGGAAAGCCCTGGGGCTGGCAGGCTTGGCACGCAGTCAGCTTGGCACACAGTCAGCACTGTGGAGACCTGCTGACTCTACGTGAGTGGGAATGCCCGCCCAGCCAGGGGAACTTGGCTGCAGAGGTGGGAGCAGAGTTGGTGTGCAGTCCGCAGCCAGGGAGGGGCGGCCCCTGGAGGCAGGTCCTAGTTGTGTCCCAGTACAGGGGCCCATAGCCTGGATGCTGGGCCCTGGGAAGTGCCCAGGACCCAGGCCAGCTAGGCGGGAAGTGAGAACCCCTTCCTGGATGGGATCAGAATCCAGTTTCCCTGCTAAACCAAGCCCTTGTGACTGCCCTGGTCACGGGATTGTTATGCTGCACCCTGAGGCTTGCAAGCTCATTCATAAAGGGGTGGAGTTCCTGCCTCCCACCATGACTGGGGTTCCCCTCTGCAGTGAGGAGCCTCAGCTCTTGGAGGCTGTGTTCTCAGCGCTGGGGGCTTCCCTCAGCATCTCAGATTTCTTGGCCCATCGGGCTGCAGGTCCCTGTTAGCTGGCTGACCTGTGCACCTGGGTCGCACACGCTAGCAGGGGCTTCCTTTTTCCATCAGAGGCAGTGGATGGAGGTGGAAGGCAGTCCTGCTGCCCACTGAGCCTGTGATTTCCACTGGGAGTTGCAATGACAGCCCTTGCCCTTTTGCTCTGCTGACAGCTGTTCCCTGGGTGCTAGAGAGTGCCAGGCATGTACATGCACTGTGCCTGCAACAGGAAGAGATGGGAGAGGGACCTTGAGCACAGAGGCCCCTGCCATGGGGGTGGTTACAGCAGGCAGTGCCTGAGTCAGGGCTGGAAGGACCCATAGGATGGAGCCGAGAAAAAAAATAGCATCAGTAAAACCCACGGGCCTCCAGAAATATAGTGGAAGAAGCTAACTGCTTTGGATGAGCTCACAGGCCAAATTACAGGGCACGTGGGAACTCTCACCATGGAGAAGGCTGGGCTGGACCAGCTGCAGCTGTCATGTGCAGAGTGCCTGGAACTCTTCTGACCTGCTCCAAGGTGTGGTTTCTCAAGGAAGATGCAGGGGTGTTGGATTCCGGGTCAGACTGCCTGGGTTCTAGTCCCAGCTCCACCTGGGATTGGCTGAGTGTCCCTGGCAGGATCTTTGGGCCCTGGTGTGACCACGCCTGTTTGTCCTGAGTGTTAAGTGACTCACAGTGGATGGGAGCACTCAGGAGCCTTTGCTGCTTGCATTAACTCCTGCCTGCTGGGCTGGAGGTAAGATGAGGTTCCCAGAGGCGGAGGGACAGCAGTGGTAGCCCTTGTGGAGTGACTGTCCTCGATAGCAAAGTGGTCTGGGCTGTTGTCTTGGTTAGAGGGAGGGTCTAGAGTGAGGAGGGTCTCTGAGCACAGGAAGGCAGGTAAGGGCATTAGCACCTGTCCCGTCCAGCAGGGGACCGGGAGTGTGCATCCTGTTCTCTGCATGTATGGAGCCATCGGGAGGTGGGGTGAGGCTGGCCTTTGTCCTGACTCCCAGGACCCCAGTCGGATCCCCTCCCCAAGGCCCTTCTGGGGAGTTACCTTCCTTCATGCATTCCCAAAAGAGAGCCTGTTGTCTGTGAAGTACCAGACGCTGTGCAGGTGGCCACAGCTGTGGCCAAAACTGATAAAAATTTCTGCCTGCATTCTTATTTGGGTTGCAGGGAGCCAAAGGCCTGATAGGTATGATACATTTCAAAAAATGCATGGTGTGTTAAAAGGGAGATGAAGGAGGAGAACATAGAGCAATGTGGAGGGGAGTGGAGAGGAGCCTCAGGGTAGAGGGTTGGAGGGCGCTGGGGAGGGGACCAGCACTGAGCCCAAGACCCAGGCAAGTGGAGAGAGTCGGGGCTGGGGACTAGATATGTGTGAGGTGGGCCAATGGGTGGGGTCTTTTGGCCTGGGCAATGCTCTGGTTTTTCCTGAGATGAGAATGAAGTGAGAAGCTGATGGTCTTGGCACTTTGGGCACTTTGACAGGTGCACCTGGGTGCCATGCCAAGCAGAGCTTGCCAGGGACAAGGACAGAACAGACCAATTAGGAGGTGTGGGGGTCCAGGCCTGATCTGTGGGGGGCGTGGTCCTAAGGGGCAACAGTTGGAGGTGGGGGAAGCGGCTAGATCCTGAGCATATTTTGAAGGTAGGGCCAAAAGGCTTTGCTACTGATCAGATATGGGGCCCAGAAAAATAATGGGCTTCGGGGAGGACATCATCACTCAGCTGAGCAGCTGGAGGAAGATGCTCACCAAGAGGGTGCATCAGGGCTGCGAGAGAGTGGTCTGGAGATGAGGGTCAGGAGCTCAGTTCTGACCCTTTGAGTTGGAGATGCTGATGAAATGGTTCAGAGTCATCAATGTGTAATTGGGGCCTGGAGTCTTGAGCCCGGCAGAGAAGGAAGGGGAGGGCTTCAGGCTTGAGACCAGAGGAGGCAGTGGGGAGGAAGGGGACTTCTCTGACAGTTGCCTGTGCTCCTGGCGGGGAGGGCTCAGGCCATGCTCCCAGCTCAGTGATGAGGATGGAGGCCTCATTCTGGTGGGGCAGGGAATCTGTATTTGTTTCTCATGCACCGTGTACCAGCCGCTGTGCTGGTTCCCTGGTGTCTTTCAGTCCATGGTTACTGGTGCTCTGAGAAGCGGTCACCCTCTGCATTTCAGTGTGCCTGTGTCCTGGCCACAGCCATGTGGGTCAGTGGTCACCAGGCTGGGCCCTAAACTCCCGAATGTTCTCAGGTGCTGGGCTCAGGTGTCTTTTTGGACAGACAGAAGCTGGTCATATGGTCAAACAGATGCCTGTGCCAACCTTGGCACACTGCAGCATGAACCTGCATGGAAATGTGTGGTATAGGCTCTGGTGGCACACAGATGCACCATTGTGACCTGCTGGGGAGGACCACAGGAAGCAGCATCGTGGAGGGGCGCTTGAGCTGAATGTGATGGGTGAGCAGGAATGGAAGTGACCACCCTGCAGGATCTCCTTTGGGTTGCCACGTGTGGCTGGACCGTGGGGACGGTGTGGGAGCTGCAGGGAGCTGCGGGAGGGGAGGCTGCAGCACAAGAGCAAAGGCTAGGGGACAGCCTAAGTCCCAACCCTCCCCATGCAGGGCATGCTGTTCTGGCCAGCTGGCAAGCCATCCCATACTGCGCTGGAGGGGCAAATGAGGACTCAGGGAGGCTCTGAAGGCACGGGTCCTCATGGTGATTTCAGGATCACAGGCCTAGGGGAGCTATGGAAGGGGGCAGTTTGCTCACAGGTGAAGTACTGGGGTTCTGGTGAGGAGCAGATGAGTTGGGGTGTCCTCTGCCACTGAGCTGTGGTGTCCTCCACTGCCATGGCCTAACCTGGGCCCCCTCACTCCACAGCGAGCACAAGCAGGGCTACACCCATGGGATAGTGAACCCAGCCCTCAGAATCTCAAACAGCATCTCTCCTTGACTTTTCAGAATGGAAGAAGGGAGTGCAGACCTGAGAAAACGAATGTCTCGGTTAGAAGAAGAACTGGACCAGGAAAAGAAAAAGTACACCATGCTGGAAATAAAGCTGCGGAACTCCGAGCGGGCGCGGGAGGACGCAGAGAGGAGGAACCAGCTGTTGCAGAAGGAGATGGAGGAGTTTTTTTCTACCTTAGGAAACTTGACTGTTGGGGCAAAAGGTACCAGGGCCCCAAAGTAAAAGGAATGGCAGAGCTCACTTCTGTGCCACATCTGCTGATCTCCAGCCATGCTCAGAGTCAGAAGCCTCTGTGTCTCCAGAGGGGCCAGGTGCTCCAGAGCCAGCTGGAGAGAGATCCTGATACTCCTGTGGGGACTGTCAGGACCCCACACAGACCAGGTGGGATCTAGATGCTGCTCCAACTGTGCAGCTCCCGGTGAGGATCAGAAGGGGATGGTACTAAGAGCAGTGCTTATCCAGGAAATGTCCCCCATGGCCACAGAAATGGAGGGCACCCAGGATCCGGGCAGCTGCCAGCAACAGTTAGCTTTCTTTATTAAATGTGCTCACAAAGCACGGTGCCTTGCTACCTGGCTCATTTTTCATGTCACACAATACAGGGCTTCTCAGGTGACCCTGTTTCTCCAAGGGCTGGGAGCACCCTGAGGAGCGCCCGGGTGGAACAGCAAGGGCATCGTGAAGTGGATATGAAGCCCCGGAGGGACAGCAGCCTTGTGCTTTCAGCTCGCTCGTCTGGGTGCTGAAGGTGGGATGCCTTTCCTCACTCTCCCTGCCCCCCAGCCTTCTGGACCTCTGCAGCTAATTTCTGTCTTAGGAGGTCCCCTGGGCCTTCCACCATGGCCCCAGCTCTGCTCCAGGGCCACAGCCTGAGTGGGCACCCAGTGCCGGTGCTGTGCCTGGGCGAGGTGTGAGCAAGTGTGGCCACCCTGCAGGAGGGCTGAGCCAAGGCCATGGGAAGCGCCTGTTTCTGGTCCTCCAGGTGCCCATGCCTCACCCTGGGCCCCTGCCTGGCTCCCTTTCAGAACCCCCTTCCCTGCTGTTCACCTCACTCCTCTGGTTCATCCTCAGACTTCAAGACTCTATTAGGGCAAATCCCTCCAGAAAGCCTTTCCCATTCACAGGGCACCCAGGCCAGGCCCGGCTCAGCTGGAGCTCCCTCAGGAGGCAGCACAGCAGTGCCTCTGGGCTCAGTCACCTCTTCCCCTCATGGTGGCCTGATATGTGGCTGGCCCCATGCCGCCCCTCAGCAGTAACCTGTAGGGGTTTGCTCGGGGAGTGGTGGGCACCAAAGCACCCAGTTTCTGACCACAGCCTCTAGAATGTCACTCAGGCCCAACCAGCCCCACCTAGAACTTTGCCCACACAGCCTGATGCTTTAAATGCCAGGGGCCTAGTGCTCCCAGGAAATGCTGGCTTCCCACCAGGAAGGCAGGCCCACAGGGCGAGACAGAGTGGTTCCCACAGTGTGGCCAGCTACCCACCATCTCCGGGCAGCTACCAGGAGGTAGGCACCTGCCTGGGGCCCTCAGCAGCATTGAGATCTGGGTGCTGGAGCTTGGGAGGGGCTGGGGAGAGTGGTGTCTGTCTTTGCTCAGCTGCTGCCATTGCGAGCCAGCTGTCTGGGTGATGGGATTTTCCCCTGGGGTTGAGATGCCGCCCTCCCCTCTATTCAAGGAGAAGAGAATACGAGGTGACTTTGAGTCCTCACAGCAACCCAACAAAGTAGGAAATTGGCCCTATTCTCCATATTTAGAGGAGAAACTGAGGCTTGGAGAAATCGGGTGGGTACAGAGGTGCGTTCTGATGACCCTGTTGAGTTTTCTTGCCCCAGCCCTGGAATTCTGATTTTGACCTGGAGAGAAAATGCCACCAGGCTATCAAAGGAGCAGAGGAGACTGAAATGGGTTTCCCATGATGAAACGAAGCTTGTCTGGCTCAGCCACTAATCCTGGCAAAGGCTCAGGCTCCTGCCGAGTTCACAGTAGGGATAGGAGTTCATGAACGCCTGAGCCACGTCTGCCACCTGCTGGCCGAGTAGGATCTGCAAACGCAGTTCTTATCTCAAAATGAACTGAAATTACTCAGTTCTGTTTTCCAATCTCTAGGTAACCAGCACCAGGCACCTTGTCTGTAAAACATCTGACTTGACTGTCAGGCACACTGAGTGACTGAGGCCATCGGGGCTGGTGGCGGGGGGGCTCTAGTATCCCACCCCTACCCCCTTCTCTCAATTGAGTTACATTTGCTGAATCTGTTCCCAAACTGACAGATTCCCACTGTGCTACTGTAATGACATCATTTAATATGAAGTAGACCCATGAATTATGAACATGAAATGGCAGGGAACTGATTCATCGAAACCCTGGAACACTTTAGACAGACTCAGTAGAAGCACGCTTCTAAAAAATGTTCTCAAATTAAGTATGGATGAATGAGACATGCAATAGCGAGAAATCAGCTGAACCTGGGATTCTGCTTCCGAACACTTCAACGGTGTCATAAAACTTGTGTTCGACTTTAAAGAATACTGGAAATTGTGGATGTCTCATACCAAAAAAGAGTTGGCTTTTATTAAAAGAATAATATGAGTGTACATGTTCTTTAAAGTTAAAATACAATTTTAATGGTATGTGTGTGAAACAGAAATAGGAAGAGAGAAGAGGAAGATTCCTTGTCTTAATTGGCTTTTGAGTGATGCACCAGGAATGAATCATATTCCTGAAATAATTTTGGAATGGAACTCATATATCCATGTTTCCCTGGTCTGTGGGTAGAAATGGGGTCAAGTTACAACATTTCATGGACTCTCTCCCTCCCCTTTTGATGCAGCACCCCAGGGCCCTGCAGAGCCCTCCTCATATCTTAAGGAGTTCTCTCACGGTGTCCTGAGTTCCCAGCTAAGGAGCTGTGACATTGACACACACTGCTTCCGCCTCTCTGTACTCCTGCCTCTACAAAGAACCCCACCCATGCCAGGATTGCTGTCCTTTTCTACCAGCCACATTGCTACTACTTCCATCTCCCACAGCAAGCCCCGCAACACTTGAGCACAGGGATCTCACAATGTGTTGCAGTTTGTGAAGAAGCAGGTAGGACAGGATGGGGTCATGAAAAGCCCAGCAGGAGCCAGATACTCAGGGCCTGTCGCCCCTGGTGAGAGGCTATTTTTATTCTAAGGGAGATAGGAAAGTATTTGAAAGCTTTACATTAACTGACATGAATCGAGTTCCATTTTGACAGTGGAAGGGGCAAGGAAGAGCTTTTGAAAGATGGGAACTCTTGAGCATGTCTGTACACTGCTGAGCATGACCCAAAGGATAGGGAGAGAGTTGCAGACAAAACTGCGAACATGATTACCTTACATGGCATCCCAGGAGCTTTTGAGCAGGAGATGCTTTTATTCCCATAAAGCTGCTCAAGCAGTAGAGCACAGCAGTTTTTTCTTTTCTTTTTTTTTTTTGAGACGGAGTCTCACTCCGTCACCCAGGCTGGAGTGCAATGGCGGGACCTCGGCTCACTGCAACCCCCGCCCCCCAGGTTCAAGCAATTCTCTTGCTTCAGCCTCCTGACTAGCTGGGATTACAGGCACATGCCACCACGCCCAGCTAATCTGTATTTTTAGTAGAGACGGGGTTTCAACATCTTGGCCAGACTGGTCTCGAACTCCTGACCTCGTGATCCGCCCGCCTCAGCCTCCCAAAGTCCTGGGATTACAGGGGTGAGCCACCAGCTCCCGGCTAGCACAGCGGTTTTCAAGCGAAGGCCCTGGAGCCCACCTGCCAAGATGTGGATCCTGCCCCACTGCATGCCACAAGCTGGCTTGATGACCCCTCTCCAAGACAGCTAAGTATCTGTGCTATCTGGACATTGGGACCTAATCCAATGATTTCATAAATCCCAAGCCCCTGCACTCACCCCACAGCTGGTTAAAAAACTCACCAGATTTGAAAACTGGCAGCAGCTGGACCAAAATGGTAGAGACATGTTTTTCTGTAATTATTTCCTTTCCCTTCTTTCAGTGAGCTTTTGATAAATGTCTGTCCTCTGTGGTAAAAGGAGACAAGGGGCAGCATCTGGGCCACGGGGGGCTGAGGAATAAAGCATGTCCCTGGGCCCAGGCCTGGTGGTAGTGGTGGCCGTGGCCGTGGGTATAAGGAGCCTCGGGGTCAGCACGTGGGTTCATTGGTTCCGCTGTACACTGGAGCCAGGGAGTGGGGCGGCTCCAGGTTCTAGAACATCTTTTCCTTGCAGCACATCAAATGGAGGGAAAGACAGCCTTTGGTTCACATCACTCTTCTGAGTATGTTTGCCTAGAGACAGAGCTCCATTCAAACTACGAGGGACAGCTGCTTGAGGAACCTGCACACCAGGGTGCTGAACTGCTTCTGGTGCCAGTCAGGATGACAGCAGCAGCCAGCATTCACCGAGCGCTCACCAGCCTTGGTCCTGCATGCACATGCTGAATCCTCCCAGCAACACTGCCAGGTGTTTCCACAGGAGAGATGACAGAGCACAGCCTCAGTGTTGAGGCACTTGCAGGGAGTGAGGCAACCAGTGAGGGCAGTATGCTATCTGGGTATCTGGCACCAGAGTCCATGCCCACATCACTATAGTATCACAGCGTTGCATGCAGTGTCTTTATGCCACACTTTGAGGGCCATGAATATTGCGTTTTCAGAGGACAAAAATGGTGTAAAAGATAGGCTCTAGTCATTCGCTTACCCAGCCCACCATTTATGGAGATACTCACCAGGCAGTATCTCCAGTAGGGCAGCCTCTTCCATCCAGGGGATCCCAGAGTGAGGCATCAGAAGATGAGAACCCAGGATGCTATCAAGTAACAGGAGAGGCATGGCTCAGCCAGACGGACACTGTCCGAGGTGACCTAAATTCTCCGTCTTGACTAAGCTCACCTGGACCTGCATGATCCCGTAGATCCCAACCTTTCCAGGACCCTGTCCCATAAAGACACATGTGCCTTTGGTTTCTCCCTTTAAACTCTTCAGTCTACCCCTCACTTCTCTCAAGACACTGTCATGATTTCTTTACATTTCCAACCAAGTTTTCCAGTCCTTTTCACTACCTGCTTTGCCACTCACTCACTTGAATTAGGCCCCACTTGCATCTATCCAGGTCTAACGCCTTACATGCAGTATATACAAGAGGAATCTTTCCACTATCTTCCTTTGTCCACAAAATGATACTAACAAATACAGTGCAAGGGCCATACAAGCAAATGACTGACCTCACAAGGAAAGAAACTACCAGATTGGAGAGGTCTACAGGCAGGTGAGGGAGCCTTCCTCCCACTCCTGTAAGTTGGGAGTTGATACCATACCTGACATGCATTCTGTCATGGACACTTCAAACTGAGATAACAAATTGCAAAACACATTGCATGTTTTTTCCTTGCACCATCTCATGTGCTGCCCAATCGCTAGGGCTCACAGCCTTCCCCCAGCTCCAAACCCTAATCTTGGCGACTTCACCTGTGCCACAGCAATACATCTAAATGAGTCCCTCTCCTTCATTTCTGCTGCTCTCACCTGGGTATCTTCGACTTCAGTCACCAATCTCCACACCTCCGCCCTAACTGGATTTGCTTCTCTTGGCAGTGACAGCCCTAAAACAAGGGTCGATTCATAATAATACTTTTCCTCCTCACAAACTCCCATGGGTTCCTATTACCATCAAACTCTTCTGGGTAAAAAATCAGACAATTCCTCATGTTTTCAGGTCTGATCCTCAGCTTCTTTCAATTTCAAACCACGATGTGTCTTTCCTCCATTTCTCCCTGTGCCCACACCCAAGCCAGGCCATGCCTTACTATTTGCTCATGCACTCACTTAAAGCTGCTTGCCTTCCCTTCCCCTTATTTATGTCAAAGCTCAAAATGCAGCTTCTCTGTGAAACCCCTCTCATTTCCTCTAATCAATCCCTGTGGCCAGGTCCTTGTTCCTCCATATACACCATTTCCAGACTCTGTCATCCATTTTCTATTTCCGACTCCCAGCTTCCAGCCCAGGTGTTAGATCTATGCTTCCATTAATTAATTAAATTAAGTAAAGTACACTTTAGACAGAAACCTAAACTTCACAAAGCATATTTGAAATTATCTTTTGGTTTCAAATGAAGTCCAAAGAAAGACTGGTCTATAACCTGTAACAGTTAAAAAAAAATTTTTTTAAACCACAAAATCACAACTCAATCTTCACTTAACATCAAGTTAATACCTTTTTAGGAACAATACATAAAAAACAGTACCTAAATTAACAAGGATGAATTACTCCACTATACAACTGGCAAAAATGAAAAAAATAAGTTTATACTCAACACTGACACTTGCTTTTGCCACCCAGTTTCCCCTGGGAGGCATGTCTATGACAGTGATGAAACAGTTCAGCAGCCACAGGCAGCTAGAGGGCAGCCTCTTCCTCTCCACTCTTCAGAGAAGGGCCGTGTGAGTTCAGGTGAGGGCAGAGGCAGAACGGTACAAGGGTCATCATGGAGCAGGAACTGAGCAAGATGGAGTGGTGTCATCACAGCGGCTGGGACTGTATGCAGCAGGGGCCCTGTATTCCCACACAGCAGCACACCCAATGTAGGCAAAGAGGAAATAAGCATGGCAAAAGCTGGAAACACTCAAAGCTAAAATCTCTTGCTCGTTTTGAAACAGACCCCAATGTTAAGTACTTATTTTTGCCAAGTGGTCATGATGGTTGTTCTCTCACATGTTTACCAAGAACTAGGTTAAGGGCATTGAAGCAAAGTTTCTTTTGTAGATAAAGTTTATCCAGCAATTTCAAACACCAAAAATGCAAGACCAGATCAACCAGATAACCAGGGTGATCGTTTAGGCTCTTCACAATCTGTATAAACTGCAAATCTGAGAACCAGCCCTAGCAATACTCCTTTTATCCCAATCCACGGGCAATCCTAAAATTGCCAAGAAAAACTTTACCACAAACAGATTGTTTTCAATGAAAAAACTCTTAATTTCATAACTTTCATACCACTTTTTTCTTTTTTATTTAAAATATTATAACCAATTGACATACTAGATAACATTGTTTACATTCCAGTGGTGCATGTTTAATGACTAGGGCATGAATGATGAAAAACCACAGTAATGATCTCAGCATTCCCTACAAAGAGCCCCATTTTGTTTTGTCTAGAGGAGAGGGAACAGAACACCGGGAAGGAGAGGAATGAAGGAGAAATGACATCGCAGAGGGAGAAAATCAAATGTCAGTTATCATACTCAGGTTTCCAGGTGTGACACCCTGTTGACCAGGATAAACTGTAATGAGAAAATAGATGTCACAGTCCAGGAAGACACCTAATTCAGTCTAACTTCATTATTCAGCTAAAAGATTCAACGGCTTCTCAAAAATATACCAAATATTGGGCCTACAAAAGTAATTTATTTCTTCGTAAAATTTACTAAGATTTACTCCTTTTGTAAAATGTAAAGAATGGACTGATATCACGAGCAGGTTTCTACTTACAAAAACAGTAATAATGTCAACAAGCACATCTAACACAATTTTCCAAGATATACAATGAAAGATTTTACATGTGTCTCTTACTGATGTAAGGTATATACTTTACATACTTACTGGTATTGTGTCAACATTGGCTAAAAAGTATTTAACATACATTTATAATTCACACTCAGTAAAGATCTAACAGTCAGGGCAACAGCTTACTTGGGAAAGCATAGAAAATTAGTGTGAGGTAGTTTAATAAAAACCTAGTTTAATTTGTAAGTCATTATGAGAATAGAACATTGTGCAAAATTAATCCACAGGTATTGTTTCTCAAAAGTTTCAGTAACGAAGAGAATCTAAACCAGAAATGGCCAGAAAGTGTTACTCTTACTAGACTCTCCTTAAGAGCACTTAATGAAGAGCAGTCAGTTTGAAATTAATTAGGACTTTTGTTTTCCTTACAAGTTTTCTAATCGTACCCCAAACTATACCTTTCTGCTTCAATGCCCTTTACCTCTTCATCTTTCTCGCTATTAAGGAACAATTAGTTTCCTTTGATTCTGGAAAAACCTAAGAGAGATCAGTAGAAACACAATGCACACAAAGATGCAACAGGATATGGAGAGGCAACATTTAAGAGGGCTGCTAATGACAGAATGGTGGTGTTTGGTTTTTCAACTGGTAAGAGAAGTTTACTGGTGTCATGGGGCTTCATGCATCCACTCTACAGCTAATGTGTGACTAATGAACAACACTCACAAACTACAACAGTATTTTTGAAAACATACTATGTTTTAACCTCAAAATGTTGTGCAGGCTAGTGCGTAGGCAACAGTGAATAGTTAAGTCTTCATATGTGTAGCAGATACTGGCCAAGAGTGTCAACCAAGTCTTAACTGTAACCAAGTAAAGAGCTTCACTTTCCTGCTGCTGATTTCACTATTAGACACTGATGTCCTCTTCCATCTTTTAGACAACATGGCAAGATTAGCATAGAACAGAACAATGACAAGGCTGGCAGAAAAGAGTGCTTCTCTGCATACCATCAAGCTTCTCTGGATTGTTAAGGGGGTTGTGTGTAGGCTTCTCGTTTAAGAGGCTGGTGTTTCTCTTCAGAAGTCTGGTATGAACACATTGTGCCTTTACCAACTTGGAAAAGTGCACACCAAGAACAATAAGTGCAGCCAAAGGTATAGGACACACTGAAAACTGTTCAGCAAACAGTAGGACAGAGTTGAGATGCTCTATTTGCATAAAGTATAACTAAGCCCAACGACACAATGGTTTTTACTACAAATGGCCAGTAAATATTAGAGGCTAAGAGTATAGTAACCAGGAAGACATAGGTAAAGAATCAGCATCTCTTTCTCAATCTGTGAGGATGAATAATAAAAATCTTGGTCAAAATAACTGTCTGAAAGTAAGACAGTGAGTATATTAAATATATAAAATTGAAAAACCAAAATTAAAGAAGGTGGCTTCACACAAGTACCACCTGATAGAAATGTTATTTATAATTTCTCTTGGAAAAAAAAATGTTTAAGATACTTTACGAATCCCAAAATAAAAAGAACCAATACATACTTAGCTTCACAAATTTAAGAGGAAAATTGTATTTAGATGTAGTAATTTAAAACCTAGGGCACACAACATTTAACAAAGAGACTTTGTATTTAGGGTATAATTATTAAGTATCTTAGTTTACGTTAAGTAATATGAGTTTGTTTTCTTTGAATTGAACTGATGGTTGGCAAGCGGCAGTTGGCATTTAAAACAAATGATACAATCAGACACGGTTTTCCTTACTTAACCAAAAATATGTATCAACAGAGATGGCTTCTTAGAAATCAAACATAAAATATGAGACTCTTCTGAAAGCATGTCTGCTGTGAAAGTGCAACAGTGACATAATCTATTCTACAGAAAAGCCAATTGTCAAATTAATAGAAACACATTCTCAAATTTCTGCTAAAATTGTGAATCCAATCTTTCCTGTCTACAAGAGGATATAACTGGCTACATTTTCTAATACAAATTAATTAATTTTCTAATACAACATGGTGCATTAGATTTGCCTAATCTAATGCACCATGTTGTATTAGAAAAAGAGACTGATACAAAGCCTGGGAAACTGGAAATCATGACCCTAGATCATCAAAAGCAAACATCATTTCAAAGTACATAAAAAGGCTAATGCATTTAAATCTTAAATATTGCACATTAACAACAATCTAAAGTATCTCACTCAAAAAGAATTTTGCACTAAATATATGAATAAAATGCCAAGCAAACTTTCAGACGCTGCATGTTGAGCCACACCTGTTCTTGCTCCTGTTGGTCACGAATTCCAAAGGGCTTTCTGCCTAGAACCTTACTGCTTATGTGAGAATACATTCCCTAGTTCATTACATGAAATCCCTCTTGTTCCAGAGATAATAAAAGGTGCCTGGGTCTATTATGGACAATGTATTTCAGAAATAACGAGACTTCAAAGACATTTTACTTAGGAAAAATTCAGTTATAGAGAAATAATTCTGTAGATATAAAATGTAAACAGTTACCATACACTTGTCAGGAGCAGCACCATTCTTACACTACTTGACATCCACATCGCGTGTTATGTTGAAAATCAGGTATAAAAAAATGAAAGACTCAGACTTAATAACCACCATTTATGCCTGCTCTGATCAATGTGAAGAAACAGTCCTTAGAAAATGATATCCTATATATGGCTGTGTGCTACTATTTTCAGATGAACGGTATATTGCTCATTTGATACATCACCTACACAAATCTAAGTAGGCTTTGGAACCTCCCAACAGCTTGTATAAAAACGATTATGCTCTAAGTAGAATCAAATGGCCAGAAACACCAGAACTGGTGCTCAACTGACTGACACTCCAATAGGAAACCAGAAAGGTTCAATGGCCCAAAGCTGCAGGAAAGGGAAAGACCAGACTCTAGAACACTGCTGGGACCTACAGCCTGAGTAGATTAACTCAGTGTATACAAAAACAGGCTCATCGCTAGTAGAAGTGAACCATCTGTTTATTTGCATCAAAATGTATTATTCATGAAGTATCCTCTTGACTTTATGTGATCATAAACTTTGAGCATGCCACAAATTTGCAGAAAACACCATATTCTTTTTACTTGATTTTTGTTGGGTAGGGTGGGGACATAAGGTGGTGGTAGTCGCCCAGTATCTTCAAAGACATGCTCTGAGTTATTCTGCCATTTAGATGATGCGCTTTTGCCAAAATTAAGTAGGATTGCCTACCAATTCTTGTAACTAAATTAGGATTGGCAAGTAGCAAATATTGGAGGTCTCTTACACGTTCATCATTTACAGTAGTTATTCCTGAATATAACTGGCTACAAGTTATTTTCCCTCAGTCCTCTGGGGTTATTTCATTGATAATCATATAACCCTGAAGGATAGTATCATGAACAAAACATCTGAAATAAAATCTAATAAAAAAACTATAAAAATCTTAAATAATTCATGATATAGGCAAGTCACCACATAATAGTTGCTTTGATAAACAAAATCTTACAAATTCAGTTAAAAAAATCAGCAGCATAAGATAAAGCAAATATGCAAAAAATTTAAACCATGATAAAATAATTAGGTTTACATTATACAGTTAATTACAGCAAAAAATACAATACAGTTTTGTTGCTGTTTTGAAACACAACTTAGGTTTTAAATTACATCACTTGAAATTAAAAAAAATAAACTACTTTACTACAAAATGAATTCTACATTTTTTGAAAAATCACTCAAAAATAAGACCACTGAATTGTTTTCAAAGTAGTTCTATCAATGGACTAACCAACTCCCTGTCCCTCCCACCCCCCCAAGGCCCAAGTAGTCATCTACAGCAGCCCAGAGGCCCCGCTGATGCTTCTAGACTGCTGTCTGTATCCGAGGCCAAAGTCGGATCTGTTGACATTGAAGACATATCATTGACAGACGATGATGACGATGGATGCTGAGAGCCATTGATCACTGCTGCACCTGTGCTATGAGAAACAAAACAGCAAATCAGTTGCAGACAGTTGCAGATCGAGCTACTTGTAGCCTCCAGTGGTAATTTTTTTTCTTGGATTTAGAAGGCTCACTAAAAATAATCGCAAATGATATCCAACACACTAACTTAAAAACACTCTTCACTGACAGCTATGAAGTGAGAATTCTGAAAATGTCTAAAAACGTGGAGTCCTATCCTTTCAACGAATGCATTTTTCTGTTTAAGACAAGAATTTTACATCTAAGCCACATTTAGAAATGGTTGTGCAGCAAGATCCATGAATGGGCTTCAGGGTATGTGTGAATACGGCTGATAATACATGCAAAGCTGTCTGTACTGCCTTTTTTGGACAGAGGATCTTAAAGGACTGCTGTATAACTACAAAAGTTAAAAACTACTTCCCTACAAAAAAAGTCTTTATAGCATCTCACTAAGAGAAAAAAATTCAGATGATTCAAGATGTACTTCTGGCACATCTTGTTTTAAAGCAAATGCCAAGACAAAGAATAAAATAACTTTAACTGGAAGGAACCTTAGTTCACTACCCCAGTTTAGACGAGGTTATGTGACATGCCAGCATCACTCAAGTGGCCTAGTTAAGTAAACTTGGGTCTTCTTATTTCTACTCTAATACTTGATAAACATAAATATCGATTTATTAAACAGATAAAGTAAGGAGCAAACAGTTTCCTTTGCCAAAAGTAATACCTAACAAGCCTTTCCTAGATTTTAAAAAGTAATAGGAATACCTGAGCTAGAGACAGAAATCCTCTCAAGAGGGTTGGTTTAGGAAAGGGACAGGAATGACTTACACTGGGGGATGGAGAATAGTTAAATGTCACTCATGCACTAAGCTGAGTACTTCTGAATCACATGAATACTAAATTAGGATCATTCCAAATCTGAATAATGTTAAGTTACTTAAAAGTTCTCAACAATACATTTATGAAACAAAATCAGTGGTCTTCAAACTGAACACTGAGCAGAATTTCTGAGGGTGAGGTTCAAGCACCCAACAATGCTGGAACCAAATGGGCTGAAAACCACACTGCTCCTGAACCCAGCACCTGTGTTTGAGATCATCCCTCCATTCTGTCCAGAAGAGCAATAAAACACTTCAGTATGAAAGATCCTCTGCTAGCTTTTCTTCAAATACAACAATAACATAGGCAATGTAGTGGGAATAGGAAAATCCTTAGGGAGGGTACTGGGAGACAGAAAGGAATAGAACCACAAAAGACAAAGTAGGTGATGGGAGCTGAAATGGAAATAGAAAAGCAGGATGAGTATCTCAGGCCTGATAGATGAGAGGAAAAAGAGGTGGTAACCTCCTAGACCCAAGAAAGGTCCATTAGCTTCCCAGCCAGAGTGAAACTGAGATAGCACATTCTTTTTAGTCCAATCAATACCTAAAATGAGCCTTTTCTGACTGAACAGTGTACCATACATAGTACACAATGGCTAGTTTGCAAGACTTATACTGAAACATTCAAACCATAAAAGGGTTCCAACATATAACACTTTTTATATATGCCTCTAGTTCAGGGTCTTATTTATCCAAATGTCTTAATCTGATAAAAATTAACTTTTAACTTTTAAATGCACTGTTAACTTTTTAATCTAAAAATCAAGTACCTAAGGGAAAAAAAGACACTTGTTTTCTCTTTAAAGTAATACAGTAAATTCTCAAATATCTGAATGGTAATAATATGGAAAGTCTTTATTCTCAGGTAACTGAGTCATTCTTCTCTCAAGAGAGTCTACACACTCAACGCAGGCAAACTTAGTTTACTATTAGCCAGATCAAAATAAAGAGAGAAAGGCACTCAATAGGGAAGAATAATAGAATTCATTTTAAAAATCATGTGGAAATGGTATTGGGGTTATCTGATAGTTTTATTTACCAAACACTATTCCTTCTGTTTTAGTACATAATTAAGAGCTGAATATTTTTACAACAGCTCAATAACACTTGCTAACACTCTTCTTTGCAAACTATAACCGAGACTACAGAAAAAGTCAAGAAACCTTAACTCCTATCCTTTCCACTGAATTATTTTGTGACCATAAGCTAGTGTTAAACTAGGATTCAAATTATTCACTTATAAATTAAAAACAAATACAACTGTTCTAACACATGAGATTATTACATTTACTCAAACATCTGGCACTCCAGCTATGCCACTCACTTGGATAATAGTATGCTAAAGTATAAAACGGTCCCACATAAGAAACTTTTCAAATCCCATCCTCCTTTATGAACAATTCACTTATACTACTACTATATAGCAATACAAAGCTAATTAATTACATGAAGCATTTATAATAGAGCTTTAAATTTGTTATAAGTAAACTGTAGAGAAAAGGCCATTTCCAAAATAGGTAAGAGCTATCAAAACCAATTTATATTTTCAACAGGATCTATACTATAATATGGAAGGCTGCATTCCTGATCAAACATTTAAAATATACAACTCTAAAACGTATAACCAAAAATGTCAAAGCAAGCCACAAAAATAACTTAAACAATTATGTTTACTATACAATGTCACTATGGTTTAAAAAACCTTACCCATATACAAGATATTAGATACAACCTCTATTTTTTTCTTCGAAAGTAAAAAGTTTTTGAAGAATTAAAATGACATAGTTTTGCTTCAAAATCAAGACCTATCTTTTGAAATACTATTCACTCTTTAAGGCTCAGCTTAAATTTCACCTCCTTCATAAAACTGTCCTAACCTCTGTAGCCAGAGAAGTCTCTGCTGCCAGCCAGACACAAAATGCGAGGCTGAAAAAAACCACACGCTCTGAAGTTACTGTATTAGTTCATCTACATAAAAGATTTGGAATCTTACGTTATTTCAAATTTCTGAACTTCAGTTTCCTCATCCATAACATGTGTGCAATAATCTTACACCTCGGGGTCCTAGGGGCTGAATGAAATAAAGTATATAAACCACTACTGTCTGTCATGTGGTATGTACTTAATATGCACATGTTACCTGTCATTTAACTTTTCTCCTCTATTCTTTATACTTTTACTTGTACTAACATTAAATATAAGATCAGCTTATGATTTAAAAAAAAGTTTTAACTCTTACAAACCCAGTTTTCTTCTTAGAAAAATAATACTTTCTAGTGATGGTTTTACTATTACTGCCTTAGTTCAACAAATCAATAATATTAAAGATAAAGACAGCAACTTCGTATCACATGTACTAAATTTTGCAGTAACGCTTTTATTTATCCAAAGTAAAGACTGTCAAGATCACAGAAAGGTTAAGTATATTGAATTTTGAGAAGTTTCTTCTTTAAAGACAGCAACAATGCCAACAAAAAGTTTTTAAATTTCTGTTCAAGAGAATGTCAGTATCATAGAAAAAGATGTGCATCTCATGAATAGTCAGTTACTGATGTATTAGTATAATGTATTAATAGAAAAGTATATCAGTGCTTTCAAATTTCGCCACCCAAACTATATTTCCTTACACTTATTAAACCTGGAATAATAATGGTTTTGTAAATAGGGAAGAACTGCAGGTTTCAGGTCATTGAAAATTACAACACAAAAAGTAAACTGTAATCTTAACCATGCTTATATTGTAACCAACCTAAAGGAGAGGGCTGCCCCCGTATAACTCCATTCTTGGTTCTCTCCTCCAAGTCCATAACTTCCTTATATATCAATTCTGTAAAAGAAGTAAACAAAAATGAACTCTTCAAAGTCTAAGAGCCAATCTCACAATGTATGTAGGGTTTTAAGTGGAAATTTTTATACATGTGAAGTACTTCAAAATGTGTCCTTACAATGACAGTTAAGTGTCAGCCTAAGATTCCTAAGATTCAAGGATGTTGATTAATAACAATTCCTTGACACTCAACAATGTATCATATTGAAAGGAAGTACTACTCTTCCCAGTAACTACTGTTTCTGAAGTTGGTTTGAAGGTGCTAGGGTTAGAAGCTTTCTTTTTCACCCCACAAGCAATTTGTACTACAACACATCATACCACATACCCTTCTGTACTACAATCTGTCTCAGTGAGGGCTTGAACCACGTTTGTCTTACTAACTTACATTTCCTGAGCCCCGGCATAAAGCTTGGTACACTGTGGGTACTCAACTAGATATATGATAAAAAGATTTGAATCGGAGTATGCAAAAACTTCTTTAATCAACACATTTTCATTAGAAAAAAAGCAGCAGGTAAGCTACATTTCAACAACTTATGAGTAAAAGCATGGTTATCACTTCCAAGAATATTTCTCCATGGGAATCTTTTTCTCTTACCAGGCTTCTAGATAGCAAGTGGACCACTGTGATAACTATTCCAACGGAAGAGAGACACTGGGAGCTGCTCTGCTGATTAATATATGTGCCTCCTACCTACTTAAGGTTTTTGTTTTTTTAAATGAGTCTCGCTCTGTTGCCCAGGCTGTAGTGCAATGGTGCAATCTCGGCTTACTGCAACCTCTGCCTCCTGGGTTCAAGCAATTCTCCTGCATCAGCTTCCTGAGTAGCTGAGATTACAGGCATGTACCACCACATCCCGCTAATTTTTGTATTTTTAGTAGAGATGAGGTTTCACCATGTTGGTCAGACTGGCCTCACACTCTTGACCTTCTGATCCACCTGCCTTGGCCTCCCAAAGTGCTGGGATTACAGGTGTGAGCCACCACACCTGGCCTACTTAAGGTTTTTAAGTAGACATTCAAGACTCACAAGGCACAGCACACTTAACCTTAATGGTGGATGCCACATCACCATTATTTATCTTCTTCTTTGGGTTAGGGAATCTTTTGAGAATTTTATGAAAGTAGGCAACCCTCTTTTGAGAAAAATGTACGAACAAAAAATGTTGCATCAAATTTCAAGGAGTCTGTGTAATTCTTGAAGATTAAAATTCTGATAAAAAATCCCTGATTACAGAGTATGACAACATTTATATAAGCAATAAGGTAAAATAAGTGAATATGTTGGGATGAACAACAACTAGAGATAAGTTTGCTTGGTATAGTAACCTTGGGCTGGGAAGGAGAAAAACAGAAAGCACTGATAAAGGAGAGAATAAGGGATGGTTTTCTTCAAAGAAACAAAAAGCAATGATAAACATTGAAATAAGAGGATTTTTAAAGAGAGAAAATAGCACTCTTCAGGAAAAAGGCACAAAGGGATTAAGGCAGAAGAACCAAAACTAATTAGGAGTACTAACTAGGCAAAGCCATCTGTAGTTAATGGCTTTGGCAATTAATTTTTCTTTCTGCTATGAGCTAAAACTCTTGAGTAGATCTTAAAAAGGCAGTCTGAGTAATTACTGACATGAACCTGGGGCTGGGAGTAAAGGATACAGAATAAAGGTAAATGTTTTTAAAGCAATCAAACCCCCCAAATATATTGTTATACAAATGAAAACAGTGTATTTCACTGATTTTAAGATGTACTTTTTCAGTTTAAAATCTATAAATTGACCACATTTTATAATCAATGGTGCAGTACAATTCACAGTGTATTCTTTTGCTTTGTGGTACATAATGGTGTGCCTGACAACTGCTGGCCTATTAAGAGTCTAAAACCAATCTAGACAACAGAGTGAGACCCCATCTCTACAAAAATTTTTTTAAAAAATTAGCCAGGCTGGGTGCAGTGGCTTAACACCTATAATCCCAGCCATTTGGGAGGCTAAAGCAAGAGGTTCACTTAAGCCCAGGAATTTGAGATCAGTTTGGGCAACACAGTGAGACCCTGCCTCAAAAAAACAAACAAATTAGCCAAGTGTGGTGAATCACACCTGTGATCCAAGCTATTGGGGAGGATGAGGCAGGAGGATCATTTGAGCTCAGGAGTTTTGATGCCGCAGTGAGCCATGATCATACCACTGTACTCTAGCCTGGGCGACACAGTGAGACCCTGTCTCAAAAAAAAAAAAAGATTCTATAAAATACCTTATGGTCTATTGTAAAATAGTTGAAGGCAAAAATACCAGGTTAATGTTTTCATACATACTCAGTACAGAGCTATATCTTTATATATAGGTGTTACATATTCAAATCCACCAGACTCTACCCAATTTTATTGTTTTATCATTCTTTTAACTTTTGTCATGGGCTCTGCTAACCATGGGTTTCTCAAAGTTCAGAGAAAATCAATCTTGAAATCTCTTCAATCTCTATGGCAAAAGAATCAAATTCACCCTTAGCAAAATAAATGTACAGATGGGTCACTTACTCATGTTTATACCTCCCCAGTGACCTTTGCCTTCCCAGTATTTAGAGACTCAATTCTTAATAACAGGTCTTCTGCCAGACGAGGTAAAATGCGGGAGGCAGTGTGGGGTGGGGGCAGTGAAGGGGGAGTGATTTACTTAAAGTCACATAGTTACAAAAGTGGTCAAAACACTGAAGGACAAAAACATAAATGGAAGTTAAAAGGGACCTGGCCCACACGTCCCAAGGGATCTTTTGAAGAACTATTTGAACATTTCCATGACTATCAAAGCAATGTTAATTTCAGCCACATTCATAAAACAGAATAAAACTACTATATTAGATTTACAAATATTAAAAATTAACCCATTCTGTTGGCAAAGGTAAGGGCGAAGAGAGATGTCTATATAATATGGACATATGTGTACACTACTATGATTTCTTTGGAGAGGAATTTGGACATAATCAAAAAATATCCTTTGACTTAGCACATCTCCTTCTAGGATTTTTCTTCCAGGCATATTCTCATATGTGAACATGAATACAGCAGAGTTGTTTCTAACAGCAACAGACTGGACACAATTTAAATGCTCATCAAGAGGGAGCTGGCTATGGAAAGTGTGACACATTCATACAGCAGAACACTAACCAGTTATTAAAACAAGCAAGGTAGATATGTGAACCAAAAGAGAATAACCTTCCAGATATTTGATTATAACAACAAAGCAAAACGTATAGCATACACCAAACACAACCACATGTGATTTTAAAAGGGTGGAAGTGGAGGAGTGGGAGACACTGAACACATTTGTATATTCACATACCATAATAAACATATGAGAGAGCACTAATGTGTTTGTGTCTAGGTTGAGAAACTTGGGAACTTAAGATTAAAGAGGGAAGCAGACTTACTTTCCAACTATGTAAAAATTTTATTATCAAATTTCAGTTATGAATTAAAAAGTCACGAATTTCTCTAGCATAATAAATCACCATAAAAAAACCAGAAGCTCCTTCACAGTTTCCCTCCAAGAATCCGATGAATGTACCTTTCCACTCTTCTATTGTGTGTTCCCTTTCATCTAATTGCTTGTCAGGTATCTTTGGTGGTGGCTGAAAAACACAAGGCAATAATAATTGTGTCAGTATGCTGGGAGTATTTTAACTCCTTTTAATTATTTGAAATACCAGCCAGACAGACGACTTACAAAAATATATCAGTAGACCAAGACTGATCAATCATCAACTTTCTTATATAGACAGAATAGTTTGGGATGACTCCATTGCAGGAAAAAAAATGTTTAACTGTCTTTTTCTTTTCTTCCAGCTCATGAAATTGCCACATTTTATTTACATCATAGATCGTGGAATTCTGTTTTCCTTTGGATACAGTAATTTGTTTCCTATATAGCTGAGTTAGGATGTTCCCCAGAGCATTCAACATCCTAGTTCTCTGGTTAGGTATCCAGGCAAGAATTCAGAAAACTTTATTTTCTTTAGTGGGGGACTCGAATATGCTCATAGTTTATTTAATGTAGTCTTCATGAAGAAACAGAAAAACATCATCATCACGTACCTACATTTTTATTTAAAATTGAAAGGTATCTTCCGAACCTAACTTTAATTCTAACTGTAAGAATGCAATGTGTTCGATAAACATTAAGAAAAGAACTTACAGCTTCTGCTTCAGAAGGATCATACCAGACATTGATGTACGGGTGCTGGAGAGCCTCATCTACAGAGATCCTTTTAGATGCATCTATTACCAGCATTTTGGATAACAAATCCCTTGCCTGACTGGCTGCAAACATAATGATGTTAATGTACATATATTTATGAAAGTTCTCAAGTTATGAATCAATTTCAGCAATTTGAGATTATTTATTTTAAAAATACTATGTTACACACGATTAAAATATATAAAATTAAAAAAAAATAACAAAAACCTAATGTTTTTCCACCATCCAGAGAACACCTTGAGTTACGTCCCATAAGAATATAAATACATATAAACTCACAAACACACACACACACCACATACCCCAAATGGGATTAAATGTATATATGTATAAAAAGTACCTTTAAGTTTGTTGTGTTCTGAGTCAGCTGGGAAAAGTACATCGGGGAAGAGTTTCTCGAAGCTATATCCAGCATATTTAGGTCTGTTTTCAACGTAAGTCCTGACTGTTGGTTGCAGTTTCTTCATGAATTCAGGACATGGTGTTCCAAGCTGCTCAATAACTTTATTCCATTGATCAATATCTAATATCAAGTAGCTAAGAAAAATACTCCATAACTAATGTTCAACACATTAGTCATATCCTTATTATAATACAAGAAAATAGAAATTTAAAAAATCCTAAGAAAGGATGTGGCAGTTATAAATTTTATATCTCACAGGCAACTTGCAAAAGGCAATGATTGTAGGTGGACAGAAATGACCAATAAATAAGCTTTGTTAACCTTATTTATTGTATGTGTGCATACTAACTGATTTTACCTTAAAATGGAAGCTTAAACTCACAAATTCTAAATAAAAATATAAGCGACTAAAAGAATAATGACAATTACTGTCCACAGTGGCTCTAATTGCAAACTATGCTATAATTATATACAAAATTTGCTTTTTCTGTCAATTTATCAGAAAACATGATTGCATCTCCTAGACAATATTTCTATAACCCATCCTGTTTTATTGAGTTTTCTACACTAACAGAAAAAAACCAGATGCAATAAAAATAAAAGTTTCGATAAAAGTGGCACTTCTTTTTTTTTTTTTTGAGACAGAGTTTCGCTCTTGTTACCCAGGCTGGAGTGCAATGGCGTGATCTCGGCTCACCGCAATCTCGGCCTGCTGGGTTCAGGCAATTGTCCTGTCTCAGCCTCCTGAGTAGCTGGGATTACAGGCACGAGCCACCGTGCCCAGCTAATTTTTTGTATTTTTAGTAGAGATGGGGTTTCACCATGTGACCAGGATGGTCTCGATCTCTTGACCTCATGATCCACCCGCCTCGGACTCCCAAAGTGCTGGGATTACAGGCGTGAGCCACTGCGCCCGGCCTAAAAGTGGCACTTCTTTTGCCATTCTTTGTTTAGCTTATGTTTAAAAATTTTTTCTAATGCTCTGAGGCTTATCAAAAAGATTCCGTTTTCAGTAAGTTGTAAGGTTAGGATTTCCTGGTCTTCTTTGTTCTAGTCTTTACACTCCAAGACCATGAAGGCCAAGGACTAAAACTTGCTTACAGCAATCTTGTGAATGTGGCTTTTCCCATTCCTTCTCCTAAAACAATTCAGTGTTACTGGCTGATAAACACATAACAAATCACTATTAATATAAATATTAAACGTAGTGAGATAAAAAGCATGAATCCAAATCTATCATTATCAGTTTTATATGAAATTCTCAGATGAAAGGATCAGTATGTTATGTGAGTAATGAGACAACAATCAAAAGACACAAACCACACAGAACATTAACAAAAAGGAGGTGGGGGGGACAAAACAAAAGGATGGCCAGAAGCAACAGAAAGCTTCAAAATTCATATTAAGCTGTACATATTTCTAGACTTAAGTGTGTAATTATTAGAAATTTTTAATGCAAGCCATGATTTTCGATTTAGGTTAAATAAATCAACTCAAAGCCAGCAAATAATTTTACATAATTACAATTGAGCAGGGTTAAGAATTAACATATAAAACAATAAACGAGGGTAAGAAAAGTCTATGTTGAATAGTAGGTGGTATTTTAAGAGTAATTTAACAATATATTAGGGAGAGACAAAACATTACACCTGACCAAACTGAAGTGCTATCATACATTTTGACCTTTAGAAACTACATTTTAGGCCAAAGATAAGGATACGATCTGTACCTGGGAACAAAACACCACCTTTGATCATTTCTCCCATGATGCACCCAACTGACCAAATGTCAACTGAAAACAAAATGCAATGACATTAACATAAAGATTTTGGTTAAAATGAAAAATAAAATAAAATAAAATCACACACACCATGTATACTTTAAAATTATAAAAAGCAGTATTAAAATAAAAATGAATGACAGTGAATGTGCTCTGACTACCAGCAGAGACTGTATGTCCTACTGCCATATGCAGCCTACAAATATTTCAGTTTCTTATCTCAACAATTTTTGAACTATAACAGCCACAAACTTCATGCCTGTTTAAAAACCCATCTGTATGAATACAGCATATTCATTTTCATTAGAGAACATAAAGAAGTTCATCACCTAACTAATTAACTGCTGCAGCAGCACAAGGATACAGTCCCTTCCTGGAAAGAGGATTTTGTGGCAAACCATTTCTCCCATAATGCACCCCACAGACCATAAATCCACTATATGTTTGCAGCACAAAAGAAGGAAAAGCAAAGCAAAAGGTCATTAAAATCAAAGAAGCATAATATGACTGCATTATATAAAAACTGCAAAACATCACAAAAAGAAAAAGTGATCATAACTTTAATGGAATAATTTAAAAACAAATTATTTTTTGAAAGGCTTTGGTTCACAAAAAAAAATGTAAAGTGTGGCATTTCAACTACATATCTAATTTCAAAGTGAGAGCTATGCACAGAAATAGCATAAATAAAAAATCCTGCATGTTTTGTCCCTGAGAACTTGTTTATAAAATATGAAATAGAACCAAACATAAATTTTGTAAATAAAAATGTACATGAAGAAGTAAATTTATAAAAATAAAATCTTTATACTATACTATTTGGAAGTTCAACTGTGCATTATGCTCTCTCTTTAAGTTAAATAAAAGAAAAAAGCATGAGAAAATAATTCAGCATATTAAAACACTGAACAGAAATAATGTCTTAATGAATAATTACAATTAAAAAGTTAATCTAAAGTTCTTTAGAATTTTTAAATTGGATTTCCCAAGTTTATTTAATTGAGAACTGCTATGCTTGTTTTAAATTAAAAGTCTTTTTGGTTTTTTTGGCAACATGATGCTGTATTTACCCTGCTATTCCAAAAGGAACAAGTGCACAGAGAATGAACTAATCAAGGAAAACTTAGTAAAAAAAAAATGTACTTCATGTTTTCTACCTCAAGTTTTTCAAATCTATAAAACCACACTGCTTTTGCTTTAAGAAGTTAGTTTTGGCTAGATACAGTATAACACACAGTTCCCATGAACTGATTATCTAGAGTCTCCTGTAAGACTTACTGATGGCCCTTGCCAACTGTAAATGGGAATCCCAATCAATGTTGATAAGAATCTGCTAGACACAGAAACAGACAATTTGGGGATCTCCAACTACTTAAGAAAACTGACAACACGCTGTGGAATTTTATGCCTTTGGGTTTCAATATCACATAAACAAGAGAGAATAGGTGCTTGCAGTTTAATCAGAAAAGAGGGAAGAACAAGCGATTTAAAAGAAAAAGCCTTAGAAACTTGCATTTGGTTGTGACATCTGAAGGTCTAAATTCTTTAAAATGACAAAAGGAAAAGGGCAGAAGTAGATGTCAGAAGGAGACTCAGCCTTACTCATGTTAAAGGAATTAGAAAATTAAAGCCTGTGCTTTCTAATACAACACATTCTTATTAAAAGACTGCCAGTTCTCTGAAGAGTCTTAGGAGCCAAACTGGGAATTACTTTTATAAATATTGTGGAACTAAAGTTTCCCTAAAATTTCATCTTAAAATGAATATTTTCATATTTAGATTTTTATATTTACGTCATTTATAGGACACTGACACATAACACCATATCTATGACAATCAATGGTTTACCAGCAAATGCAAAATGACATTTTATATAAAATGGTTTATACAGCAAATGCAAAATGACATATAAAATGTTATTTATCTTTAAATGAATTATGTCATTTATGTTATTCAGCTTTCAAGAATAAAATTTTAGAAAAAAAGTTAGTATTTATAAATTAGTGCCTCAGAGAAAATTTTTTTCTAAGGCTTTCATTTTTGACAAAAATCTATTAGAATAAATCTCTACAGATTTTATAGAGAATGTTAAACTTTATCTAGCATACAACTTACATTGGTAACTTTCAGAAAAGGCTATTTTTAAACAAAAGTATTCTGAAAGCTGCAAGCATGAAAGAAGATATTATGGGGGTCAGTGAAGACTAGGAACACAAGTCTGATTCATGCACAACTCTAGCTTTTAAGGTTCTAAGTGCTTAGTCTATTAAGCATTTAAAAATATATTGATTACACTGCTTTCCAAAATGCTCTGAGTAGCTTGCAATAAAAGGCACATAGAACAAAGCTGTTAAAATGGGTGGGAAGTCAGGCATTTAATCCCAGCACTTTGGGAGGCCTAGGCAGGTGGATCACCTGAGGTCAGAAGTTCGAGACCAGCGTGGATGACATGATGAGACCCTGTCTCTATTAGAAATAAAAAAATTAGCTAGGCATGGTGACGTGTGCCTGCAGTTCCAGCTACTTGGGAGACTGAGGCAGGGCCTGAAGCCTGGAGGTGGAGACTGCAGTGAGCCAAGATGGAACCACTGCACTCCAGCCTGAGTGACAGAGCAAGACTCTGTCTCAAACAAACAAATATAAAATGAGTGTGAGGTGTCATTAAAAGGAGGAAGTACTTATATCTAAACTTATTGGCTAATATAGATATCATTAAGCACTGCATTTGACTCATTTCCTAGGGTGGGAGTGGGAAGGCAAGAATGTGATCTACTTAATTCTTAACTAAGAGAGGAACCACATGTCAGTTATTTTATTTTATTTTTTTGAGACAGAGTCTCACTCTGTTGCCCAGGCTGGAGTGCAGTGGTACAATCTCAGCTTACTATAACCTCCACCTCCCGAGTCCAAGCAATTCTCACGCCTCAGCCACCAGAGTAGCTGGGATTACAGGCATGTGCCACCACACCTGGCTAATTTCTGTATTTTCAGTAGAGACAGGGTTTTGACATGTTGCTCAGGCTGGTCTTAAACTCCTAGCCACAAACGATCCGCCAGCCTCAGCCTCTCGCCTGTGTTGGGACTACAGGCGTAAACTACCATGCCCAGCCTCAATTCTTTACATGACAGTTTCTCTTACTGCTAATTTCTGGCAGGGAGTTATTGTAAGATCATATTTATAGGACACTGACACTAACACTGTATCTATGACAATCAATGGTTTAACAGCAAATGCAAAAGCAATCTTCTTGCTGGTGGGTTGCCTGAAGTTACCAATTCTCAAAAAAAAAAAAAATCCTTCAAATTTCAGGTAGAGAGTAAGAAGACAGAACAGCATATTTATTTAAGAATAAAAACTTAATATCAAATGTTTAAAGTATTTGTTTTTAATCAGCTCAGAAAAGGAAATTAAGCTCAGCTTAACCGTACCTTTTATAAAAAAGAATCTTAAAAGTTGACTTATTACAATTTCCTGATTCAAAGTGAACCGCTATTCCAGACTCCTTGTCAGAAAAAAAAGTCTAGGTTTTATTCTTGGTAGTGTTTCTGATAAAGTCACCACATTTTTTTAAATGATGATTTTTTTCCATAAAGTCCCATGCTTATTAGCAGATTTATTCATCTCCTAAATTTATATGGCTCAACAAAATTTCTTCCTAAATTATAAGTAGGTAGTTTCAAACAAAATGTTTAAAGTCATGATCTACATGCCAGATAATTTTGTTCAACACTGATTCTATGGTTGGTTGATACAACTGGATATACCCACACAAAGTCATTTCCTTAAGGTTGGACACAAGGTTTTGATGAAACTACTACTTCCTCTGAGGTCACCTTAATTATCCATCAGCTTTGCAGAGGCCTTATTGTACCTCTTAAAGTTTATGATGAGTGCTACTGCTATTAGCTTTGTTGGAAATATGGGCAAATATCACTAATATGTACTAATAATAAACTGTCAGTATACTCTATACATCCCTGAGACCATGTTAGACATGTTCATTTTCAAATTACAGGCAAGCAAACAGCATAAATTCTGTCTCAGGGCCATGGCAACAAATTCTTCATCCAATGGTGGTACTGATGGTATGTATCTGTACTTAAATAAATTAGGTCCCTAAGTTTTTGCAAATGTTTATGACAAAAGTTAATAGTTACCTGCAAACTTTTGATACACATTTCAAACAATGATACACATTTAACTCAATGTACTTCAGCTTAAATATTTACAACAAACATCTAATGAATAAAGAAAAAAAGCCAAATCAGAAAAATATTTCAAATAAATGTGTGTGCTGACCGTTTTCCTTGTAGCCCATGCCAAGGATGACCTCAGGTGCTCTGTAGTAGCGAGTCACTACGTAAGGCGTCATCATAAAACTTGTTCCTGCAGTCCTGGCCAGACCAAAGTCAAGAATCTTCAAAGTGCAGTCAGATTTTACTACTATATTACTAGGCTTTAAGTCCTTCAGAAAATAAAAATAAAAATGACTGCCATGTTATATATGAAGATCTTACAATTCACAATAAAGTTATACTATCCCTTGCAAAACATTCATGTTAATTGTTCACTGTAATATTACTGTACTGATTCATCATTAAAAAGCAAACCTGGCTGGGCGCAGTGGCTCAAGCCTGTAATCCCAGCACTTTGGGAGGCGGGTGGATCACGAAGTCAAGAGATCGAGACCATCCTGGTCAACATGGTGAAACCCCATCTCTACTAAAAATACAAAAAATTAGCTGGGCATGGTGGTGCGTGCCTGTAATCCCAGCTACTCAGGAGGCTGAGGCAGGAGAATTGCCTGAACCCAGGAGGCGGAGGTTGCGATGAGCTGAGATCGCGTCATTGCACTCCAGCCTGGGTAACAAGAGCGAAACTCCTTCTCAAAAAAAATAAATAAATAAAAAATAAAAAGCAAACCTGAGAAATTAGCTTTATGGCATTTATAATTTATGAATACATCCAGTTATTAGAGAAGTTAATAATGTTTTAATTGATAGAAATTATGATTAGCTAGAAATTTTTGGTCAAATAGAGCAAACGAGATTTGAAAAGATCACAAAACTCACATAAAGAAGTTTTATAGTAAAAGAAAGAGTCGTAAGTTAGCATTTACATTCATTTGCATAACATATTACCAGTATTTTTTTAAATCTCATTTTACAGTCACAATAAGCTCTATACAGATGTTGTAAGTCAACAATGAACCATCTTGCAAATGTTATTTGATCTTTTAGACTGGCAGATACTCAGTTGCAAAGGACCAGAACAGTCATTATCCATTTTTCATCCCTGATTTCCCACCTGAAGTCATAGGAATTTGCTATAAAATTTTTGTCTGCTTGCAGAATTAGGACACCATTGCCTTGGTGCCACTAATTTATAAAATTACTTGCTATAGATATTACAGAATAATGTTTGTGAAGAATTTTTCACCTGGCCCCAACCTAAACATATTCTGTGCTGTGCCCATCAAAAGTCAGGCAGCAGCATAAACACCCATGGCTTCATGTTCAAGATACTTTGCCTGTTAGCCCTGAACACTATAATAAGCCAAAGGACCAAAAAAAGGAAGAAAGCATATATCCACAACACAAATGCACTGTATTATCTGTACTGCTAACACAGATAATCAGTGTTATCTCTGCAGTGCAGATATTAAACATCACTGATGAATACAAAAAAGAAAAATAGCTGGCTTAAAAGACAACTATTCTTTTGTAATGTTAATATCCAAAAAAGCATGGATGCTGTCTTTAACATATTTTGACAGACAATCATGGATGGGTTTAGAAGATAAGCAATCTAGTGGCTTTATGAAATTAAATATACCAACAATTCGAAGGTCTTATGAGCAAGAAGAAAAAAAAATTTCATTATTGCTATTCTGTAAATATGATGTTGCTATTTCTAAAATATAGCATCTCAGCAAAGAAATATTGCATGTTCAAAAATAAATATTACAAGCTTTGATACTACTTCAACGTCTAGTGTGATGGTTAAGATTACTGGCTCTTCATACTAGCAGATTCCGATTTAGAAACAACATTCCAATTTTAAGCACTTTATTTTGAAAAAATTGACAAAATAACAATTTTTAAAGACAGGTACTTTTTGTTAGGCAAAAAAATTGTCAAAAGAGCCTCAAAGAATATCAATTGAAATTCATCCATATATATCAATACGTACCTTACAGCTGTTAATTATACTGTTAACTATATATAAGAATAGTAACTTAGAATTTACGTAGGCAGTGGAACTAATCCAACATTCTATCTTCTTCCCCAATTTTTCTTGCTTCCTCATTTAGGCAAGGGCACATAGGTAGTTGTAGTTCATGGGATGTGAGTGGAAGTAAAGAAGAGAAGGGCCAGTGTACAACCTCCTGTGGTCTCCTGCCCTGCTTTGATGATTAGGAACATTCCAGACAGAGGATTCTCTGGAAGCCTGGGTTGCTGATCATCTATGTAAATGCACAGTCCACACCCCCACTATGAGCTGCACCAGACACTCAGCAAGGGAAATAAGCCTGAGCTGTGTTAAGCCACTGACAATTACGGGTTTATCTGTTACTTCAGTATAGCTGAGTCTACTCTAACACTAAAACTGGTGTCAGAGGTGGGGTGTTAACTGTTACAAAAACATAAGATCCTGGCTTAGCAGTTGAGCAGCAGGGAAACTCACATCAAAGGTTGGAAAGGTGATCTAGGTTATGTAGTAGCAAAACATTTCATGAAGCTGTCATTTGCACAGCCACTTGTACAATGAATCTGAAGCTCTAGCACAGGAGCTGGCAAATTAAGGCTGGCCTGGTTTGTAAAGAAAGTGTTGATATTGGAACACAGTCATGCTCATTCAAGTACATATCGCCTATGGCTGCTTTTGTGTTACAATGGCAGTCTTGTAGCTGTGACACAGACTATTATCCACAAAGCCTAAAATAGTTACTACATGGCTTTTACAGAAAAACTTTGCTGAACCCTGTTCTAGAAGAGACTGGAAAGCAAGACTTCAGTAGTTTGTGTTGGTAGCTTACTGGGGTTGCATTTAAAAGAAGTAGCAACCTTTTAAAGCAGAAATAAAAGGGAACAGAGCCTAGAATTTCAGGGTCTTGCCATTTTGGAAAAGCTAAATGCTACAAGATGCCTGAAAGAAGGTATAGTAGTAGATTGTTCTGCAAATATTCCTGCCCACCCCAGAATGTGTCCCTACCCTACTGATAAGTTCAGTTACTTGTCTTACTTTGGCCAATGCAATATGCAGGAATGAGCTTAATTTAGCATAGCTCTTGCTCTTCTACCTTTCACCATGATAAAGGATGTCCTTGGTGGACGCTTCAGTTTAGATGCTGAAATCTCAATATGGGACAAGCCTGAACTTGACCCAAGGTTTGGAGCAGTGTTACACAGCCAATCCTGCAGACCCAAGTAAACAATAAATATTGCTTTAAGTCACTGATATCTTGCGTTGATTTCTATGCATTATTTTCATATAATAATTATGAAAGCTTTTCAGGAAAAAAGTTCTGTAAAATCGTTCAACTGATAAAATTGCCTCAGTCTGCCAACAGAGGCTTGAAAGCTTACAGGAAGACTAAAGACAGCCTCAATTAAGTCTAAGAATATAGGACCCATGATTAACAAAGATGCTTTGAAAGAACTACAATCAGAAAGATAAGAAATCTCTTAAATTTCTGAAAGAGTCAGCTAACTGTCAGACCATTAATGCCAAAGGTCTATGATGCTTCTATATTTCCAATAGAAGTTCTCAATTTACAGTATTTTGCCCCCAGATAACATTTCCTGGCAATGTCAGGAAACATTTTTGACTGTCACAACTGGGAAGTGCTACTGGCATCTAGGAATGCTGCTAAACATTCCACCACGCACTGTCAAAAAACTGTTTGGGCCAACGTGTCAATAGTGGCAAGGGTGAGAAATATGGCCTTAAAATGACCTTTGGGCCACAATCTTTTATAAGAAAGAGGCAGGCTGAGAGAGGTGAGCAGCCCTCAAGGAGAATACATTCTTCAATACCCACTTCAGGTATTACATTCATGAGGATAGCAAAAAAGATGACTCTCCCACAGAGTAGAGCCAGGTATTACAGAAAACCAAAGAGATCAGAGTCAGGGCTGATTAGGAATATTCCCCACACCCAGGGCAAGGGACATTCACAATGTCTGTACATAAGAATTTAATTACAACTAACCAATGACTGCGTTTTTCAGTTTTCTAAATGAGATTGTTCAGTGTGATAATACTAGCCCTGTCTGACCACTCTATCTAGGGTATTTGGCGGCAGGGGTGGTGGTTATAGGGGTGGCCATATAATTTGGTCATTCCAGTTCCTATGTTCCTGGACCAAGAGGAACAATGTCTAGATTTGATAAATATCTTGATGAAATAGGACTTTGGGTTATTTCCCTTAAGGAATTGTGTAATAAAGGGAGCAAAGGAATGTCTGCCAGCCAGAAGGGCAGACTGTGGCAGAGACTGGTGCTCATCATCATTCTGAAGCCTGCTCTCCCTATATTTCCCCATTGCCTTACAAATTAAGCAAGTCCTATGCTTCTGTCAATGCACTCTGAGCAGAAATGACCTGTCACTTCCAAGCAAAGAGCCATGCACACCACTTGGCTCTTTCCCATAGAGACCCACAACTATCTAGATGGTGGGACCTCATCAGCTTGAGTCTCGGGGTAACTATGTGGTACTCCACTCCTAATACTGACTCCTAAGGAATGAGTCAGGTTATTTCACTAAGAAAGCAACCTCAGACCAGCATAGGTACTAGCCAGTGGAGGTGAATCTAGAAGAAGTAGAGCAGAGAGATGAGTACCAATCATGGCCTCAAGACCAGCTGCAAAAAACTTAAATGCGTATCTCTACTCTAGAGTTTCCCACACAGCCCAAGCTAAGATAAAGGCAGATTCTTTACAATAGGTAACAGACCCCAGTAGGTCTCATTAGCTCCACTTTATTACATTAAGAAATTTTCTATAGATGTACTTCATTTTTACCACTTTATGTACTAATACTAAGGCAGTAAGTCAGAATCTCCCATTACTACTGTGTTTGTGCCATTTTTCTATTTTCTACAGTTTAAGCTTTTTGCATAGCAACTCTACTTCATGTATCAAGTTCTCTCTCCTAGCTGGATAGTATCCCTCATCCTTAAAATGTGAGACTATTCCCAGAGAACAATGCTTCCTCTCAAACCTCACCATATTCAACTTTATCTCATTAAATAGTTTTCCTTGTTTTGATGCTTGCATTTTCCTGGTATATGTCTGCCAACCCCTCTGCCTTTAGCCTTTTGACGTTAGCTACAAATGTTTGTGTTATGGAAACATGCAGTTGTTGAGCTTTTGTGTGCTGCCCAAATCCGACCTTTTTAAACTAAAGGACTAATCCCATTAACACATTACCTTAAATATTGCTTTATTTTAAAATTTTATAAAATATTAGTAAAATTTTAGTAAAATATAATTTTGGAAAATATTTTGTAGTTTTGTGTTACTTTTTTATGGTTCTTGTTGTTTACATTGTATTCTATCTTCTACCATTTTCTCTTTTCTGGTCTAACCACTTGAGATCCCCCTTAATCTGGAAGCTTTCTATTTGGAGGGGTGTGCTTTACTAAGATCAAATGAACTTCCACCATGCTGATTACTGCCCTGGTCTAAGGACTCAGGAAACAAACCAAACCTAGAGGTTTAACTCTTCTGCTCTACTTGACATAGTGTATGAGTAGGGGCTTAGGAAGATATGTCCCACTTAAAGAGATTTTTATTATGTTATTTAAAAATTGCATTTGACATATTATTAGAGCAGCTGTATATGTAATATACAAGAAATTCACTTAGAAGATAATTAAGGATAAGCCTGTAGCAGGACTGTTCGTTCACTTAACCAAAAAGGATAAGCCTCAATAACTCAGAGACATAATTGTCTTATACTGTGAAAACTATCTCTATATTTATTTTATTGTATGGGTAAGGTTATTTGATGCAGGTGACTCAGAAGGAAGATGTAATTCCACTGAATTAAATAATTTTTAAAAATCCCAGGCTAGGCATGATGGCTCAGCACTTTGGGAGGTTGAGGTGGGTAGATTGCTTCAGGCCAGGAATACAAGACCAGCCTGGGCAAGATGGCAAGACCCCATCTCTACCAAAAAAAAAAAAATTAAAGATTTGCTGGACATGGTGGTACATGCCTGAAGTCTTAGCTACTTGGGAGGCTGAAGTGGGAGGATCATTGAGCCAAGGAGGTCAAGGCTGTAGTGAGCCATATTCATGCCACTGCACTTATTTGGGTGACAGAGAAAGACCCTGTCTCAAAAAAAAAAAAAAAAAAATTCCTTTCAACCTACTGAACCCAGGAGGAGTTTGAGGCTGCAGTGAGCTATAATTATGTCACTGCATTCTTACTCTGACAGAATAAGAGTCTGTATCTTAAAAAAAAAAAATTCCTCTCAATGCTTTTCAAAGAATAAGCTAGATTTAACTAAAATACAAAACATACAGCCATACAAAACATTTTACATGTTCATGTCAGCTTATCCATAATAGTGGTAACAACCTAAAATTATAATCAATTGATGGATAAACAATGTATCTATACAGCAAAATATTTGTCAGTAAAATGACATGAAGGACTGACACACAATAAATATATGAATGAACCTTGAAAACGTTATGCTAGGTAAAAGAAGTCAATCACAAGATATCACATATTATATAATTCTATGTATAGAAATAGACAAATGGTCTATTCTATGTCCAGAATAGACAAATATACAAAGACGGAAAGTAGATTAATGTTTGCTTAAGGCTAGAGGTAAAAGATGGGAAATAAAGATGAGTGGATTTGGATTTCTTTTAGGGCAATAGAATGTTCCAAAATTAGATTGTGGTAATTAGCGCACAATTTTTGAATATAATAAACATTGAATTGTATACATTAAATAAATTGTATAACAAGCTAATTATGTTGTAAAAAAGCAGTTAAAATTCCCAGAAAACAAACATATAAAATATTTCTGAATATATATTTTTAAAAAACTAACTCTGACAAATACTCAATTTTGGTAATTTGGTAATATTCAATTCCCAATTTGGAATGACTGGTAATAATATCAGCTTATTTTGTATTCTGCTTCACTTCAGAGCAAAAACAAACTGTTTTTGCACTGTTTCATATAAATCAGTGAAATACAATGATCCTAAGAATTTGATGAGAGGCAGTGATGTCAGCCAAAACAGCTCCACAGAAGCACCATAAAACATCAAAGTGTCAGAATAAACATTTTCAGGATTCTGGAAAATATTCAAAGTGAAAACATGGAGTTGATTTATGGCAATCAAGTGAACTCAGAACCTAGAAAAAGGCAACTTAAAAACAATAGGAAACTACCTCAAACCCATTAAGATGGTTACTATGAAAAAATAAAGTGTTGGTAAGGATGAGGAATAATTGAATATTCAAGTGAAAATATTCACTTGATTTATGGCAATCGAGTGAACTCAGAACCTAGAAAAAGGCAACTTAAAAACAATTGGAAACCACCTCACATCCATTGGGATGGTTACTATGAAAAAAAATAAAAGTGTTGGTAAGAATGAAGAATAACTGAATCCCTTCTGCACCATTGGTGGGAATGTAAACTGGTAGAGCTGCTATGGAAAACAATGTGGCAGTTTCTCAAAATGTTGAACAGAATCACCATGTGATACAGCAATTCTGCTTCTGGCTATATGACCAAATGAACTGAAAGCAGGGTCTCAAACAGATACTTGGACAACAGCTAAATGCAGAACCAACCCAAGTGTCCACTGATCGACGAATGGATAAGCAAGTATGGTATATACATAAATGGAATATTATTCAGTCTTAAAAAGGAAGAAAATTCTGACATATGCTGCAACATGGATAAATCTTCAGCTCATTATGCTAAGTGAAATAAGCTAGGTGCAAGGAGGCCAATACTGCATGATTCTGCTTATATGAGGTGTTTACAGTAGCCAAAATCATACAGACAGAAAATAGAATGATGGCTGTCAGGGGCTGCAGGCAGAGGAAAATACGGAATTACTGTCTAGTGGGTACAGAGTTTCAGCTTCACAAGATAAAAAGAATTCTGGAGATGGATGGTGGTGATAGCTGCTAACAAATGGTGCTGGCACAACTAAACTGCCACGTTTAGTGGCACATACCAAAAGCACAAGTGATGAAAGAAACAATTGTATTTCATTAAAATTGCAGCTTTTGTGCATTAAAGGAAATCATCAGCAAAGTGAACAACGTACAGAATGTGAGAAAATATTTACAAATTATATACTTGATAAAGGTTTCAAACATGGAATACATAAAGAAATGCTACAGTAACGACAAAAAGATAACTTAATTTAAAAATGAGCAAAGGGCTTAAATACACATTTCTCCAAAGACACACAAATGGCCACAAGCACATGAAAAGTGCTCAACATTAGTCGTTAGGGAAATGCAAAGTAAAACTACAAGGAACACCACTTCATAGTCATTAGGATGGCTAGAATTTATAAAGTCAGATAAATACCGGCAAGGATGTGAGGAAACTGGAACCCTCATACACTGCTAGTAGGAATGTAAAATGGTGCAGTCACTGTGCAAACAGTTTGATGGTTCCTCAAAAAGTTAACTAGAGAATTACCGTATGACCCAGCAGTTCCAGTCCTAGGTATATACCCAGGACTGAAAACAGATATTTGTGCGTGAATTTTCATAGCACTATCCATAATAGCTGAAAGGTAGAAATAATACAAATGTCCATCAATAAATGGATGGATAAACAAAATTGGTATATAGAATAGTATTCAGTCATAAAAAGGAATGAACTATTGATACATGGTGCAACATGGAGAAATCTTGAAAACATCATGCTATATTTCACATAAATGGAAATATACAGGCAAATCTATAGACACAGAAAGCAGACTGGTATCACGCCAGGACAAAGATGCAGAACTGCTAAAGAAATGTGAGGTCTTCTTGTGGGGTAACAAAAATATTTTTGAATTTAATGTGGGTGGTAGTTGTACAACACTGTGAATGTACCAAATGCCACTTTAGAATGGTTACTTTTGTTAATGTGAATTTCACCTTAATGAGAAAACGAAGGGTATATGCTGATAGTTTTTTTCTACTAACCCGATGAATAATTCCAGCGGAGTGAAGGTGCTTGATTCCACACAGCATCTGATAGAGAAGGTAGGACATTCTTTCATGATCTAGCTCCATCTGAATTACTTGGCAAAGATTTGCATCCATGAGCTCCATGACTATGTAACTTCATGGGTGAAAAAAGAGAACAGCTAAAGTGTCCAGCAGCAATCTAAGAAAAATGTATTAACTTAACAAATTTTAATTATTATACTTACACATCTTGAAATTCTTCTAGGGATTTCTGTGGTGTGAAAACATTCAAAAGGCCAATTATCTATGGTAAAAGCCGAGGGACAGAAAAATTAGAAATTACTTCCTAATAATTTAATTTGGGAACTACAAATACATGGGTTAAAAAAAACTAACATCAGTTTAAAATCTTTCTTTATATTCTAATCTCAAGTAATTGCTTTTATGTTACATACTGCCACTTTATGGGCAGGAGTTGGAGGAGGTAATGGATAGGTGGAGGTACAGAGGATGTGTAACCCATTTATCTGTAATTCCATTTATGAAGTCAATTATCAAGCACTTACCTTACATTATACAAATCTCTACACAATTTATCAGCAAATTTTAAATGCCTTCTACCAGTTATTTTCCAATTAAGTGTCCCTATATAATCTCAGCTCTTTCCTCCCTTGGTTTTTCATAATACTGCACTTGCCCAGCTTTCTTCATTCCCAGTCTATTTCACTGGCTCATCCATAAGCATATCCCTTCATTCCCACTACTGTGCTTAATCTATTTCTTTTCACTTTCTGCATAGACATTTCACAAATAAGATAACACTGAATTCATTTTCATTCCTACCAAAACCGCTTACTTTTTCAGTACACCCTCTCTTTTACAAAAGAAGGCTCAGAGTGATTTTTGACTCCTTTTTCAGTATCTGCACCATAATAAATACTCATAGAATGCTGTCCATTCTACTGTCAGTCTGACCATCAATCTCTTTTTTCCATTCCCTGTGCTATAAATAGGTTGAAGACTTCAACATCTTATCTAGACTGTTCATGCTGTAACTCCTTCTAACACTAGTGTTACAGATTGATTGTCTTCCCCCACACCCCTACTCCGCACAATTCATATGTTTAAGTCCTAGCCCCCAGTGTGATATTTGGAAATGGGGACTTTGGAAGGTAATAAGGGTTAGATTAGGTCATGAGCTTGGGGCCCTCACAATGGAATTAGTGGCCTAAAACAAGAGAAGAGAAAGAGCAATTTTTCTTTCCCTCTCTTTGAGCACACACTGAAGAAAGGCAAGTGAGGACAAAGTGAAAAGTTGGCCACCTCTAAGTCGGGAAGCAGGCCCTCATCAAGAATTGATCTTGACCTTCCCAGCCTATAGAATGGTGAGAAATAAATCTGTTAAGACACCCAGTGTACAGTATTTTGTTATGGTAGCCTGAGCTGACTAAGACAAGTAGGGTCACTAACGATGGTTTTATACAAATCCAGCTACCACTTACCACCTATAACATGGTAAAAGAAAGACCTGACCATATTACTTAACTCCTCAAAAATTTAAAGCCGACAAATATATTCTGAAACTCCCTTGCACTTGCAGTATATTAAAAAGCCTCCAAGATAAGCCTCAACTCACTTTATCTCCTGCTAAGTCCCATATTATACTTTAGCTAGCAATAAGTTTCAAAAATGTCATTTTAAAAATGATATTTTTAAACAAACAATTCTCTATGCTTATTATTTATCTACCGAACTTAATTATCTTCCAGATGAACCTCTTTGTAGATTCTGACAATCCCTAGTCCCTGACAGAGTTAACTATTCTACTTTGTCCCAGTTATCTTCTAATGTTGTTAGAGTACTCAACACACTGCAGTCTAGTCTCATTTTTACATCAGCCTCATCCCTGCCACAGAGGATAATTATTACAAAGAACTGTGTCTTAATCACTTTTATCAACTAGTACACGGCAAGTTACATGACATACATGTAAAAATGTTTGCTGACAATGATACTTAGGGATGGGAATTTTGTGGCATAAATGTTATAAGGGTAGAATTAATGATTTTCTACTAAGCATTAAGCTTTACATAAGGTATTTAAATATTTGTTCAATGAATAAATTCAGAAAAATAATACAGCAGAAAAGGTCAAACAAATTTAAGATAGAAAGCATCTAGCTGCTCTATATAAGTTCAAGTGCAATACACAATAGGAAACTCGGACAAATAGTAAAACTATTTTCATTAATATCTGGGAAGGCCTAGAGTAGAAGAGAGGTATTAAAGATTAAAGGCATATAGAGACAGAAAGGAGATTAGTGGTTGTTTAGAGCTGAGAAGGATGGAAGGTAGGGGAATGAGAGTTAAAGAATAAAAGATTTATTTCTGAGGTGATAAAAATATTCTAGAACTGACTGTAGTGATGCTCCTACATATCACTGAATATACTAAAAACCATTAAGTGGTATACTTCAAATGGGTGAATTATATGACACATAAATTATATTTCAATAAAGCTGTTATAAAAAAAGATTCAAACAGATAGTTGTCCTATTTTTCAAAAAGGATATTACATCAGTTATAGACTGGACAGTCAAGCAAGTCAATGATTGACTAGTGGTGGTATGTAACTATATAATTGTTACTTCAAAAGAAGTAACAATTACCAGGAGCAGGTTAAAGTTCATTGAGAAATACTGTTTCTTACATGAATAAAAACAACAAAGAACAATAGCAATCAATCAGAAAAATGTAACCAGACACAGTATATGAAGATTTTTTTTTTTTAATTTTATGTTGAGATCTGGGGTACATGTGCAGATCTTGCAGGATTGTTAAACGGGTATACACATGCCATGGTGGTTTGCTGCAATCATCCCCCCTTCACCTACTTTAGGTATTTCTCCTAATGTTATCCCTCCCCAATCTCCCTACCCCCTGCTATCCCACTCCTAGCCCCCTACCCCACAACAGACCCCAGTGTGTCCCTCCCTGTGTCCATGTGTTCTCATTGTTGAGCACCCACTTATCAGTGAGAGCATGCAGTGTTTGGTTTTGTGTTCTTGTGTCAGTTTGCTGAGAATGATGGTTTCCAGATTCATCCATGTCCCTGCAAAGGACATGAACTCATCCTTTTTATGGCTGCACAGTATTCCATGGTATATATGTGCCACATTTTCTTTACGTAGTCTATCGCTGATGGGCATTTGGGTTGGTTCCACGTCTTTGCTATGGTAAACACTGCCACAATGAACATACATGTGCATGTGTCTTTATAATAGATCGATTTATAATTCTTGGGGTATATACCCAGTAAAGGCATTGCTGGGTCAAATGGTATTTCTATGTCTAGATCCTTGAGGAATTGCCAGACTGTCTTCCACAATGGTTGAACTAATCTATACTCCCACCAACAATGTAAAAGCGTTCCTATTTCTCCACATCCTCTCCAGCAACTGTTGTCTCCAGACTTTTTAATGATTGCCATTCTAACTGGCATGAGACGGTATCTCAATGTGGTTTTGATTTGCATTTCTCTAATGACAGTGACGATAAGCATTTTTTCATGATTGCTGGCTGCATAAATGTCTTCTTTTGAAAAGTATCTGTTCCTATCTTTCACCCACTTTTTGATGGAGTTTTTTCATGTAAATTTGTTTAAGTTATTTATAGATTTTGGATATTAGCTCTTTGTCAGATGGATAGCTTGGCAAAATGTTTTTCCCATTCTCTTGGTTGCCAGTTCACTCTAATGATAGTTTCTTTTGCTGTGCAGAAGTTCTTAAGTTTAATTAGATCCCATATTTCTATTTTGGCTTTTGTTGCCATTGCTTTTGGTGTTTTAGTCATGAAGTCCTTGCCTATGCCTATGCCTATGCCCTGAATGGTTTTGCCTAGGTTTTCTTCCAGAGTTTTTATGCTACTAGGTCTTATGTTTAAATCTTTAATCCATCTTGAGTTAATTTTTGCATAAGGTGTAAGGAAGGAGTCCAGTTTCAGCTTTCTGCACATGGCTAGCCAGGTTTCCCAACACCATTTAAACAGGGAATCCTTTCCCCATTGCTTGTTTTTGTCAGGTTTGTTAAAGATCAAATGGTTGTAGATGTGTGGCATTACTTGAGACTTCTTTTCTGTCCCATTGGTCTGTATGTCTGTTTTGGTACAAGTACCATGCTGCTTTAATTACTGCAGCGTTGTAGTATAGTTTGAAGTCAGGTAGAGTGATGCCTCCAGCTTTGTTCTTTTTCCTTAGGATTGTCTTGGCTATGTGGGCTCTTTTTGGGTTCTGTAATAAGTCTAAGGTGTTTTTTTTCCAGTTCTGTGAAGACGGTCAATGGTAGTTTGATGGGGATAGCATTGAATCTATAAATTGCTTTGGACAGTATGGTCATTTTTATGATACTGATTCTTCCAAACTATAAGCATGGAATAGTTTTCCATCTGTGTCCCTTCTTATTTCCTTCAGCAGTGGTTTGTAATTCTCCTTGAAGAGGTCCTTCATGTCCTTTGTTAGTTGTATTCCTAGGTATTGTATTTTCTTTGTAGCAATTGTGAATGGGAGTTCACTCTTTATCTGGCTCTCTGTTTGTCTGGTACTTCTGTATAGCAATGCTTGTGATTTCTACACACTGATTTTGTATCCTGAGACTCTGCTGAAGTTGCTTAGCATCCTAAGGAGATTTTGGGCTGAGACAGTGGGGTCTTCTAAATATACAATCATGATATCTGCAAATAGAGACAATTTGACTTTGTCTTTTTCCAACTGAATACCCTTTATTTCTTTTTCTTGCCTGACTGCTCTGGTTAGAACATCCAATACTATGTTGAATAGGAATGGTGAGAGAAGGAACCCTTGTCTAGTGCCAATTTTCAAAGGGAATGCTTCCAGTTTTTGCCCATTCAGCATGATATTGGCTGTGGGTTTGTCACAAATAGCTGTTATTTTGAGATACGTACCATCGATACGTAGTTTGTTAAGAGTTTTTAGCATAAAGGCTGTTGAATTTTGTCAAAGGCCTTCTCTGTATCTATTGAGATAATTATGTGGTTTTTGTCTATGGTTCTGCTTATGTGATGGATTACATTTATAGATCTGTGTATGTTGAACCAGCCTTGCATCCCCAGAATGAAGCTGACTTGGTTGTGATGGATAAGCTTTTTGATGTGCTGTTGCATTCAGTTTGCCAGTATTTCATTGAAGATTTTTGCATCGATGTGCATCATGGATATTGGCCTGAAGTTTTCTTTTTTAGTCGTATCTCTGCCAAGTTTTCGCCTCAGGATGATGCTGGTTTTATAAAAT